GAAGGATAAACACTAAGGTCTGGGCAGCCAAACGGTTGCCCTTAACCCAGCGCAGTGGAGCTGAGTCTCCGAGCTCGGTCAGTCCCCGGAAGGCACAGCTTTCTCCCTTAGGGACAGCGAGTGTCAGAGGTCTCCGAGTGGAATGCATGCCAGCTGGGCTACGTACATGGAGAGAGACGAGGCTCTCAGGTCTCATTCCTGGGAGAGGGACAGGGGCACTCAGTTCTCAGCAGCCCGGTGAGCGCGTCCCGGAGCCCAGGGTGCAAGGGGTGGAGAGCTGGTGCCAGGGCCAGGCGAGGCGGAAAGCACTGCAGCCCTGCGCGTACTGCGGCTCCGGGAGCCTCCCGGTTCTGGTCTCCAGCCTCTCCACCACGACCGTTGCAGGACTCAGGTCCCTCCGCTGCGGGCGGACCCCGGCTTCCCCAGACTCCCGGCAACTCTGGTCTTCCTCGCACACCCCGGGTCAGAAGGCAGAGGTGCATCGCAACCCTCTCGTTTGCCGCCCCCCACCTCCAGGAACGGGGCGTGCACACAACTCCAAAGCCCGTCTCCGCCGCTAGAAAAACTTCTAGGAAGCAGCCCCCGCCCCCAATCCGTCAAGTTTTTGCAGAAAAGGCTTCCGGGCGGGAGCTACCCGGAGCGCCCGGCTTCGGAGCTGGAGGAAGAGTCCGGGTCAGCACCCCGCCGCTCGCGCCCGGCCCTTCACTTACTCTCCTGGGCCATGCTGATGACAGTCTCGGTGGTGGCGTGGTACTCGTCCTCCTCCAGGAAGTCCTCGGGCTGCAGCGCGTCGCCCTGGAAGTCGTGCAGGTCCAGGATCTGCTGCAACGGCGGCGCCTTGGGCAGCAGCTGCTTCACCACCTCGCGGCTGATGTTGGGCGCCTCCTTGAGCCTCAGTTTGCTCAGGATCTGCGACTTGATGCTCTCCAGGCGCAGCTCGCGGCTGTGCTGCCGCCACAGGCACACGGGGCAGCCGTCGGGCTCGGGCGCCGCGGACGGGGCCGGCCGGCTCGGGCGCTCCCCCCCGACCCCCGCCGCCGCCGCCGCTGCCGCCGCCGCCGCCGCGGGGCCCTCGGCCGCCTCCCCCCGGGGCCGCAGCTCCAGGGCGAGGAGCAGGAAGCCCAGCAGCAGCGGGGCCGCGAGCACCATGCTGGAGGGGAGGGGAGGGAGGACTGGGGGGCGGGGACGCCGGAGTCCCGCGGGGAGGGGGCGGGGGAGGAGGGGGAGGAGGAGGGGGTCCCGGCGGCGCGGGGTTGGGGGCTGCCCGGCCGAGGGGGGGCCGGGGGGCCGCGGGCGGCGGGCGCGCGGGCGGGGCGGGCGGGCGGCCGGGGCGGGCGGCTGGGGGGGCCCGAGCCCGGACCAGGCCCTTTATAGCCCCGGCCCCCGTGTCGTCAGCGGCCGCGATTGGCTGCGGAGCCAACAAAAGAGGCAGCGCTGTCATCCGAGGCGAGAGAGGGAGCCGGAGAGAGCGGTGGGAAAGCGAGAGAGGGAGGGAGTGAGGGCCCAGAGAGAGATGGAGAGGCCGAGATAGTGGGGTGGGGGAGAAGAAGGGGGAGAGGGACCCCGGCAGAGCAGGGAAGGACAGAGAGATGAGAAAGGAAGGGACGCATCCGAGACGCAGAGAGAGGAAGAGCTGGAGGCAGAGGAGGAGAGGGAGACAAAGGGGATGGGGAATAAGAGAGAGTCAGAGGGGACCACAGCGGGAGCAGAGACTTGGCTGGAGAGACAGAGAAAGGAGGAGACAGGCACAACTAGTAGGGAGTTAGAAGTGGTCGAGTCGGAGACAGAGATAAGGGAGAGAGCCTGGAGGGAGGAGAGAGGTGAAGGTCTCCCGGAGCCAGACCTGAAGGGGTCAGGGGTGCAGAGGGATGAGGGCAGAGGCAAAGGAACTGATGGGACAGGGGCCAGAACCCGGGGAAGGAAGGGGAGCTGGAGGGAGAGGGGGAGAGATTTGGGGATACCTAGGGAGAGGGGAGGAAGGCAGAGATGAGGAGACAGACTCCGGAGGGAAGGAGACACAGCACAGGGACAAGAGTCGGCCTTGGTGGGAACAGGGAGAGCCTGATGGTCAGTAGGGGGGAATCTGAGCCCGGGAGAGCCCTGGCTACCAAGGGTGGCTTAAAGAAGCTGTTTAAAGAAGCCATGAGAGGAGCCTGGGGCAGAATCAGGAAGAGAGATGCAGGGCTTGGGCATGGGAGTTAGCCGGGAAGACTAGGGAGTCTCTTTGGACAGGCACAATCTGAGAAGGTGGACAGGTGGTTGGGAAGCCCTGAGTCAAGAGGAAGACTGAGAGCTGGGAAGAGTTCATGAGCTTGAAATTGATACTTGAAAGGGATAAGATAACGAACAGGTTGGAAGAAGCAGAAACTGGGGGCTGAATGGGAGGAAGCAGAGATGAGGACCACTATACTTATAGAGGAATCTGGATCTCTGGATTTCTAACTATACTTTTGGATCTGCAAGGTTTTAGGTCTTAGAAGTCTGAGAAGGAGCTAGTAGTTTTAGGGGTGAGAAGAAGAGAGTGGTCTGCCCTCAGATGCCTGAGTTGGAGATAGCAAGTTGTAAAGGGAGGAACCCAAATACAGGACCAACCCTAGTCTGCAAGTGTAACACTGGATACAGCCAGAGGACAGAGTGGAAGATTGCCAAGGTGCTAAAATGCTCCTCAAATGCTTCTGAATTCCTCTTCCCAGACCTCAGTTTCCCCAGGCTTATTTCTTGAGTTGGAAGCCTTAGGGGTCAATAGACAACCCCTATATTTAGAATGGTTGAGGGCCCTGCATCTTCCTGGTTTCCTGACCTGCACAACGTTTCCTGACCTGATTACGTTTATGTAATCAATGGACATTACTGGGCTTGTCAGACAGAATAGAGTGACATGGTTTCCTCTGTGCATTAGAGCTCAACACAGTGTCTCAAAATTGTCCTGATGGAGCACTTAGGTGTAAGGACAGAGTTGGACCGGGGAGCTGCAGTGGGATGAGGGGAGAAACTGGGGCTCCAAGTGTGAGGGAGCACAGTTGGGTAGGGATCAGGAGGACCACGCTGGGAAGCTGTGAAGAGCTGAACCATTTCTTTGGAGGATGGGAACTAAGACTGCAGCAGCATGGGAAAGAAAAAAACCCCACTGAAACTGAGGCAGCTGATTCCTTCCCTTGCTTTGGTCTAAGACATAGACATCTCAACATGCCATCAAGTTCCTTCATCTGTAGTGTCTACCCTCAACTGATTGTGAGGATTACATAGTTACCGGTCAATAGTGGCCTCTATGGGCTCCTTCCTCGTGATTTTTTCCCTTTCTTTTCTGATCTCCCAGAGCAGTGATTGCCTTTAACACATATTCTGACATATCCTGTCTTGCAAAATGTTTCCCTGGTATCATTTCCTCAGCAGAATTGCAAACTCCTTGAGAACAGAGGTGGTGTCATCTCCTTCTTTCTCAGGGAAGTTGGCTCAGCCTTCTTCACCAAACGCGTGTCTAGTGGTAGGTCTAGGGAAGATGCAAAGATAAATAAGACAGCCCCTCTCCTTAGGGAATGTACAGACGAGACAAGACGCTAGGTGAACAGTACTGGCCGAAGCTCCAAGTCACAAGACAACTCAACCATCCTCGGTTAAATAGAATAGAGGTCCCCTTCTCTCCCCCTAAAATGTGTTCCCATCCCGAACTTTTTCATTTTTAGTGACTGACACTCAATCATCCAGGCCAGAAACCTGGATGTAGTCTGAATTTTCTTTCTCTTGGTCATCTCTGAGTCTTTGCACAAGTTATTTTCTCTTCCTAGAACCAATCCCTCTCCCAGCTCCACTCTCCCCCACTCAGAGTCTCTTGGCCAAATTTGTTCTTTGTTTAGATGGCAGTTCTCAGTGCAGCTGAGATTTTAGATATGTCTTCCAGGAGTCTGTTCCCGACTGCCAGGTCTAGAGATGGTCCTCCTAACTCTTTCTGCACCATCCTGTGTGGTATGGGGGTTAATCATATAGCTTCTAGGCTAGAACCAGGCTGCCTTGCTTCAAGTCCCAACTCACCCCCTTTACTGACTGCATGAACTTGAAATCCATGCCTCAGATTTCTCATCTATAAGATGGAAAAAACAGTATTGTACCTCTCCCATAAGGCTATGAGAATGAAATGCCTGACACGCAGGTCTAAATGAGTTCATTAGTTATTACTGCCCTTCCAACTTCCCACCCTAGTTTTCTTACCAAAGCATTCTATTCCTTTGCTGCTTTGAATAAAGAATGAATGAAATAAAGAATGAATGAACCCTGCTGACTGCATTTGGTCAGAGCCCAGATGTGGAGAGAAAACTGTACTTCTGCTCATGAGGAATTATATGGGTACCTGCCGAACCTCAGAGAGCAAAGGTGTCAACCAGAGAGTCAAGGCACAACTTCTGAGTCGGGAAAGATTTCCGCCTCCTGGTTTCCTCTCCTCGAAGTCCAAGCCGGCACCTCACGCAATAGATGGGCAAGACTGCCATCTGGTGATAGAATCTGGAATTTCCGTTTCTTGGAGGTAGGACCAAAAGCTCTTTTTGTTTTTTCTTTTTGTTTTGCATACTTCACATATTTTCACTTTAGATTCCTAGTCCAAGAAGCTACATATCATAGTGTATTAAGTCTTCTTCCTTTCTCCTTAGGCCCAGCCCCAAGGAGGGAGCTCCGCTGGTTTTACGGAAGAGGAGCTGGGAGAGGTCTGGACGCTGAGATCTTCCCTCGTCCCAGTGCCGGCGAACCGGGGCTTGGGGCCCCGCCCACTGTCCTGATCTCCCTGGCAACTGTGGTCTTGCCGGAGGTGCCGCTCTTCCTGCGTTACCCGAGCAACCTTCGGGCCCACCTCCTTCAAGGTCCTGACTGGTTCATAGAAAATGTAGATCGGGGCCTAAAGGAGGCATTGAGGTTTGAAGAGTGTGAGCTGCAGGGAGAGACGGGGAGGGTTTCAGTGGGAGGGAAGAGCTTTCAGGAGCTGCTGAAGGAGAGTCCTGTGTAGCTCTCGGTAGAGGAGCCCCCCCTTCAGGGAGCGGCACTGCGGGTCGTGGGCGCGAGTCATCAGAGTTCTGGCCAGAGATACCGGGGCCACTCAGAGTTGACCCCAGAAAGAGGAGCCACTGTGAGGAGAAGGGACTCGTGCTTTCCTTAGACCTTTCCACACTGGCCAGCCCCCACACCGAAACTGCTTGTTCATCGGAGCTGGGCTCGGTGGGGAGTGACTCAGAATCCTGTTTTCTCTCTTCTCCAATTTTCTTCTTAAAGGCCCCATTTTTAGGGTCAGTGGACTCATTGTCAGGCACGGCGGGTCTTTCCAAGGACGGGATAGGCTGGGTCACTGAGAAGCCGCTGACGGAAGGGGGGCTTCCCTCCAAAGCTTCCCCCACTCTCAGCGTAAGCCTCCTGAATGCGTAGGGAAGGGGACTTCTGGGCTGGGGGCGTTCCGCTGGCAGGATGGACCTCTTCCAGATCTCTCTGCCGCAAACCCTGATCCCGCGCCCCTCCCCTCCAGGACCTCGCCGTAATTACCATCCTCTCCACCCTACATTCTAAACCCTACAATTATTTTTCCTGGACCCGCCCTGTTACCAAGGCCCTCTAAGAGAAGTTGGAAGCTGGGAGGAGGGAGCCAGAGAGTTTGTGTTTGGGGGAGCGGTAGGATACAAGTGGGGAACTCTGACAATCCTTTGGAGCCACCTCTTCCTTTGCCTCTGGGCTCCTGGGAGACACCAGCCCCCATCATCTTTTCCCACTTGTCCTCACGGGGTAGGCCCAGCCCTCCGGTTCTTTTCCACCTTCGTTCTTCTCCCCCGAGGCCTCCCCACCTCTGTCTGTCTTTCTCACCTACTGCTCCCTCCCCAGGCCCTTGCTGGGGTGCCGCTGGGGGTGTCAGCCTCAGCCGACCCCACTGACCAGCTATGCTGGCAAGAGGCACCACTATTGCAGCTGCTGGCCAAGAAACGAGGAGTCGGAGTACAATGTCTTCTTCAGAGATTTCAGGGCAGACGGATGTGCTGACCCCAGAGGCGACAAAGCGTGACCTGGGTTGCCAGGTGAGGGGAGCTGGTGGGAAGCAGAGGGGAGCTGGAGGCAGGCATGTTCAGGGTGGATTCATTCTCCAGGAGAGACCACAGGGCAGTGAAGGTCAAGGTTGTTGCCAGATGAGGGGGTGTGTGTGTTTGTATGTGGCTGTGAGCCCCATCCATTCAAACCCTTCCTCGTCTCCTAGTCCCTAGTTCCCTGAGCTGCAAAACCACAGTCAGGGGGAGGAGTCCAGCCAGCTGCAAAAAGCCCAAGTGGGTGCCCCCAGGGCCTGCAGTGTCCTGTTGCATCCCCCTCAACCTGTGCTAAATGGCCCCCAGCATCCGGGGTTTGTCTCATCATAGCCCTCACTTAACTGCGTTTTGAAGTCTATGCCTACAGATTGTAATCACTTTAAAGGGAAGGCCATGCCTTATGCACCCCGGTATAGTCCCAGTGCCAGGTGTGTTCAGGCTTTCCGCAAACGGGTGGATGGATGGATGGGTGGGTGGATGAGTGAATGAGGAAGTGAATGAGTGAATCCTTCCTCGGCCCCTGGTTAGGCAGAGGTTCTGTTCCTCTCAGCCCCGCGGGATGGGAACCGGAGGTGACTGTCCTGCCCCAGCATCGCCTCTCTCCCATCTCTCCCATGTCGGTCTTCACTCCACCCCAGGAGAAACCTTAGTTATGCGTGTCTGTGACTCTCGTGGAGACTGCTGTACGCCTGAGCCAGCCCTGGACCAGAACCACGCCGGGCTGGGCTCCCGATCCCAGCGGCACACTAGGAGGCTATGGGCTGGAGCTGCCCACCCTGCTCAGTCACCAGCGGGGTGTCTGGATTGGTAACAGTGGCCCTGGCTGGGAAGAGGCTGGGACAGGAGCCAGGCAAGGGTGAGGAGAACATGGGGACAGAAATCAGGGTCTGGGGGCCCAAGGAGTAGGAAAAGGAAAAGGGCAAGAAGGAAGGCAGAGGACTGAGGACAGAGCGGTGGGGGTGGGACCTGGTGGCACTGGCACAGGAGCTCGCCCTGGGCTGAGCTAGGGTGGGTGGGAGAGGGTGAAGGAGGCCGGACTGCCCCCCTCCACCCTTTCCTTGGCCACCTTAAGAAGGGCGGAGTCCAGATATTTCCCAAAGTAAAATCATTTTAATTCCCATATGTCTAAAAATAGGGTATGAGAAAGCTTTTATTATTTTTAAAAAGATTTTATTTATTTATTTTTTGATAGAGGGGAAGGGGGAAGAAAGAGAGGGAGAGAAACATCAGTGTGTGGTTGCTTCTTGTGTACCCACCCTCCCCCAGGACCTAGCCCACAACCCAGGCATGTGCCCTGACTGGGAATTGAACTGGTGACCCTTTGGTTCACAGGCTGGCTCTCAATCCACTGAGCCACACCAGCCAGGGCAATTTTTATTACACTTAACATAACAAAACTGATACTCTTTATTTGTTTGCTTTTGTATTTATTTTTACTTTTTTTTTTTTTGAGAGAGAGAAACATCGATGTGAGAGAGAAACATCAATTGGCTGCCTTCTGTATGTGACTGAACCAGGGATCGAACCTGCAACCTAGGTATATGCCCTGATTGGGAATTGAACCTGCAACCCTTTGGTTATAGGATGAAACTCCAACCAGCTGAGCCACACTGGTCAGGGTGGTCCCCTTCATCTCTTCTGTGATCCTCAGCCTTCCTGTGAGAGGAAAGGAAAGCTCAGGGGAGGTGAGAGTTTAGTAAAATCACCCCACCTGGTGCATTCGGGGGCAGAACCTGTCTCACACCGGGGCTTCTGACCTCAGGGTGCTTCTTGCCGGTAACGTGCCTGGTACACTCAGCACTGGAGTTTGTGTGTCAAGACCCTGGTTCTTCCCTTCATGTTGCCTCTGAGTGAGTGGCTTAATCTCTTGAAGCCTAACTTTCCTTGACTCAAAGATGTAAGGTGACTCCGGCAATGATGATGTTCTCCTGAGTAGCAAGGTGCGACCTGTGACCTAGTCTTTCTTGCTCAGACAGCTGAGAGAGGTCACGGCTGTCCACCTCGGCGACTGTACCAACTGGTACTCAGCGCTGCTTCCTCGCGGAGCCAGCGTGGGGTGTCTTCCTGTCAGGCTGTGCTCCATCCTGGTGCACATCAGGTTTATCACCGACTCCCTGGGGAGCCTGTGCTGGGGGCGTCCGTGAACCTTTCTACCAGCAGCACCCGCAGAGCCATAGGTTTTAATCTGACCCCACAGTCTGGGGGTTGCCATCAAGCACCCACACTTCCTCATATCCCAACCTGGGGACTCTAGATAGGAATCGCGGGCCCCTAATTCAGACTTGCCCTCCTGACACTAAGTTCCAGCCACTGCCCTTCCCACCCTCCCCAGTGAGACGGCCTGGACGCTAGAGGCACCCTGCGTTTCCTTTCTCCCATTCTGGGCTCCTCTGTCTTCCCCCATCCCTTTCCCTCATGCCCACATTCCCCTCTCATATCCCCCCATGTCTCCCACCCTCCTCTGTTCTCCCCTCTATCTCCTCACCCCTTTCCCAACTTTCCTCCGCCCTTCTCTCTCTTTCTCTTTCCTCCTCTCCTTTCCCGTGTACCACCACCTCCCCGCTCCTCATCCCTTACCCCACCCTGCCCTAATCTTTGCATGTGGTGGATGTGGCAGTTCTGAGTTCCTGGGCCTCTCCTACCAGGGCACCTGTGAGTTTCATTTCTGAGCAGGCCACCTCCCAGTGGCACAGAGCAGGGGGCCTCAGGGCCCCCCTGAGTGGAGGAGAGAAGGGCTCCCTGTATGGACGTGGGCTTCAGGAGGCCTCACACACTGGCTACAAGGTGTTTTGTGTTTCACTGGCTCTGGCCAGTGCTGATATGCTCTCGGATGGCACCACCCTCACTGAGGACACTTTTGGCCACGGTGTCTTTCTGCTGAACTGGGGCAGAGGGTGTGGGGAGGGGCAAGGGTATCCCTCTGAGTCATCTGGGACTCTTCCTACTCTCTCTCCCCCTCCCACAGTCAAGCAGTCCTTTGATTAGCCCCTGAAATGCTCCCTCAGACTTCCCTCCTCTCTGTGGTTCCAGCCTTCGTCAGCTCCTGGTTGGACCGAGGTCGTTTTGTCCTGGCTGTCTTCCAGGCCACCTGACATTCATTCCGCTTCGTTTCGATGTGTGCCTGATGCCAAGATAGTTCACCCACCACTCCCCATTGCCTTTATTTTTTTTAATTTATTTTTATTGTATTTTTTCCATGACCATGTGTCCTCCTTTCACCCTTTTCCACCTCCCTCCTCCAGTGCCTTCAGAACATGCTCAACACAGCCTTCTGAGTTCTCAGGAGTCACCCAGGCTGGCTTCTCTGTGCCCCGCCTCGTGTTTTGTGAACGATTCCAAAGCCAGTTACGAATGTGATATTCCTCCCTTGAATATTTTACTATGCATCTTTAAAAAGCAGGGTAATTCTCCGATGTAATCATACTGTCATCATAGCTAAGAGAAATATTTTCTCACATCTGATTCTCAGTTCATATGCAAATTTCCCCGGTTGTTCCTCTATCTTTTCACAGTTGGCTTGTTCAGACAAAGATTCAATCAAAGACCAAGCATTGTACTTGGTTTTTACGTGTCTGAAGTTTCTTAATCTTGACTTCAGACCACCTTCGCTCCCACTCATCTTTCACCACATCCTTCCTGAGTACTCTGGGCTACCCAGTCCTAGTCTGCACTGGGGTTGTGACCTGCTCTTTGTTTATACTTGGCCTTTCCTCCTTCCTGGAACTGAGAGCTTGCTCCTTCTCTAAAGTCACTTCAGAGAGTACCACCCACTTCTGCGAAATTAGTTTTTTCTTTTTCCTCCCTGGGCTGAGGCATCACCTGCCTCTCCCTCTGACCTCATCCAGCTGACACCAGGGGTTGCTGCCACAGTGTGGCCTTGCTGGTTGAGGGCAGGACCACCGTCCTCCCCACCTTGCTCTCCTCCCACCCCTGTGCCTAATGCATGCTTGGCATCTACAGGCAGCATAATAAAGAAACCCTTGAGTACTCTTTTCTGCAGTGTCTTTGATCCAGTCCTCCTCCACAGCCTGTCTGCTGTGATAACTGGGGAGAAAGGTCCAGCATGGGCTTGGTGTGGCTTGCTAGAAGGTTGTGATCCTGGAAACTGGCTCCCATCCCAACCCAGATTTCCTTCCTTTGGCTCTTAGTTTCTTTCCTTCTCTGTGTACACACACCGAGACTCAGAAAGTAGTATTGGAGACATGAACCTAGGAACTGAAGGGGTGGGGCCCAGGCTAGGGGCTTGGAAGTGTGCTGGCCGCTTCTGTCCTTGGCCTGTTCACACAACTCCTCCTGGGGACCACTGTGGCACAGACGGGAGGGAGGCAGCTTGAAGCTGCCACTGCCCCTTCCAGCCCTCACCTGGCTTTGCCCTGGGGCAGGAGAAGGGCCATCTGCTAGGATGAGAGGGGGGAACCCAGGGGATATATGCCATGCCTTCCTTAATGTCAGTCCCCACACCTCTGTCACTACAGGCTGATCCAGGAGTGGTGGGAACACAAGACCTTGCCAATCCTTCCCAGGAGGGAGGGTCCCCACTGTCGGTCCCCACATGACCGACTGGGTGGGGTGACTGGGGGAAGGGGTTCCTCCCTTTCTCAGCCCACACTACTGAGCAGCCCTAGAAAATGGAGAGGGGACTAACAGAGTAGGACAGGAACACCCACTCTATAATGTTGGGGGACTCCCAGGATGTGAGACTGGGGACATTCTGGAAGTGTTTATTCTGGCCCCACCCGCTCCCAGAGAGCAACAGCGCCCTCTGCAGTTGGGGATGGAGTGGGACTTGAACAGAGATGGAGCCCTCGAAAGGGAGTGGGCTCTGGGTGGAGGACGAGGAGGTCTCTAACAGACATCTTGCCACCTTGCTTCAGCTCCGCCACCTGGCCAGGGCACTCGTCCCTGCTTTGGCTCTCACACGCCTGCTCTGCTTCCCTGAACGTTGGAGAAGCAGGCGTCCCGCTCTCCTACCCCAGTTGGCACGGGGCGGGGGGCGCCATTTGAGCCCTAGGCACCCTGAGGTCCTGCCCCTGTGCCCTCCCTCGGCCGGGGGTGGGCGCCGTCTTCCAGGTCGGGGCCCACGTGGCCCTGACCCAGCGTGGGGCTCGGCCCTTCCCTCGGAGGGCGGACGGGTGACTCAAGCTGCAGCTGCTCCGGCGTCACGTGAGCGAGGCCGGCGGCCACTGGGCGGGCCAGGGGGCTGGGGCTGGAAGCCGGGGCGGGGCCGCGCGGCGGGCGGGGCCGGAGCCGGGGGGCGCCGCTAGAGAGACCTGGGCAGCGGCGGGAGAGGAGCGCACAGCCTCTGGGAGCTCAGGTGAGGCCGCAGGGCCGGGCCGCCGGCAGCCCGCTCCTCGGGGTCTGCCCCGTCTCCGAAGACCCGTCCAGCTATCGCCGCTCCGGGGCCCTCGCAACTTCGCAACTTCGCAAAGTTCCGGAGGCCCCGACGGGGCGGCGCGTGGCGGGGGTGCGGGCCGCGCCTATATTTTGGGGGGTGGTTAGGGCGCAGGGAAAGTGATCGGCGGCCGGGCTCTGGCTGAGGACCGTTTTCGGAGCGGGTCTGGCGGGGAGGAGGTGTTTAGAGCCTGGGGCGGGCGGCGGAGGGTGGGCGGCCGGCTCCGGCCCCTGCCCGCGCCCTCGGCTCCGTCCCCGGCCGCGGGGGCCGAGGGCGGTCGGGCTGCGCGGCGGTCGCCCCCACCCCTTTCGGGCGGCGAGAGGAGGGGGCCGGGAGACGTGGATCTGACCGCGGGTTTCCGGGTGGGCGGGGCCGGGAATGGGGGCCGAGCAAGGAAGGCTTCGAGGGCCGGCAGGGAGCCCGGAAACCAAGGGCCCCCTCGGCCAGTTCTAATACCCCTGCCCCCCCCTCTGCCCCAGGCCCGGCAGCCATGGCGGTGGAAGGAGGAATGAAATGTGTGAAGATCTTGCTCTACGTTTTTCTGCTGGCCTTTTGCGTGAGTGCGGTGGCGGGATGAAGGGGGCGCGCTGGCAGGGTGCGGGGAGACCTGGCTTGTAGTGTGAGGGTTGAGGAACGAAGAATGAAGGCAGCTGGAGACCAGATGTGGAAGGAAGGAAAGCCCGGGGAATGGCCGAAGACAGGACGGCCACCTCCTCCTCCAGCCTTCAGGGACCTCCGAGGCTGGTATGGATGAGAATGGTCAGCTTGGATGTGCGGCACTTTACCCTAACCCCTCCTGGCCCTTCCTGTCTGATGACCCAACCACTTGTGATAGGGGCAGTGGGGCAACCAGCCAACGGTTGATGGCTATCGCTACAGCCACAGGGCTGCCCTGGCTCTCCCCACCCTCCTCTGTTCTTTCTCTCCTCTCCACCTCGTCATTCCTCCCCATTAAATGTACCCGCTTCACTCCTTCCAGCTGATTTCAGGTGGGGAAAGGCTCTGTTCACCTCACTTTGGTCCTGCCCTGGGCTCCTGCCTTGAGAGGCCACTTTGCCCAGGGAGAGGCACACTGCTCTTAACCCTGTCTCCTCCCTGGCCCAGCTGGCCCAAGGCACTCCATTCACAGCTGATAGGGATGAGTGAGGCACGGAGGATAGTGGGAGGGCAATTCTGGGAGCCTGTGAGGCCCCTAGGAAGCAGTTCTTGGTTATGGAATATGAGCCCTGGGACCAAGGCTTTCTGGAAACTTCTTTTGGCATTTGATCAAACTGTGGGCAAGGATGGGTCACCCTCCTCCCCCAGTCAGATATCCTGGAGGGGCGAGGATCTGTCTCTTCCGGTTGGGGTTGTTTCCCAGATGCACCCCCAGCCCTCCACCATGATTCGCTGGGGGGGGGGTCTGGTCCCGCCCTGACCTGCCCTCTTTGCAGGCCTGTGCAGTGGGACTGATTGCTGTGGGTGTAGCAGCCCAGTACGTCCTGAGTCACACTATCAGCCAGGAGGCCACTCCTGGCTCTGTGATGCTTGTGGTCATCATTGCAGTGGGAGCCTTCCTCTTCCTGGTGGCCATTGTGGGTTGCTGTGGGGCCTGCAAGGAGAACAACTGTCTTATGATTACGGTGAGTGGGCCGTGGGGCCAGTGTGGGGCTGTGGCTTTTGTAGAGGGGCCTCAGGAGGGTGGGTGCAGTGAGGTGGGTAGGTGAGGAACACCTTGGTGAGTGTCCCAGAGACTGGTTGGGCCACAGCAGGCCTTTCTCACCCAGACTCCAAACCTGACTCTCCTCCTATGTGCCTGCAGTTTGTCATCTTCCTTTCTCTTATCGTGCTGGTGGAGGTGGCTGCAGCCATTGCTGGCTATGTATTTAGAGACAAGGTAAGCAGGGAATATAGGGAGGGCCTGGCTGTTCTGGGACCAAGGTTCCCCGAGTCCTGACTTCAACTTTCCTACTCCCAGGTGATGTCAGAATTTAATAAGGACTTCCGGGAGCAGATGAAGAATTATCCCAAACAGAACCACACAGGTTCGATCCTGGACAGGATGCAGGAAGAAGTGAGTAGGGTTGCTGGGAACAGGGGTGATGGGGGAATAAGATTCTTATCTCCATTATTGAAGGTGGAGGGTCATTTAACAACCTCCCCCATATTCTTCTTTTCCCCCAGTTCAATTGTTGTGGGGCGGCTAACTACACAGATTGGGGGAACATCCCTCTTGAGCCCAAGGGCCGTGTCCCTGACTCCTGTTGCATCAATGTCACTCAGGGCTGTGGGATTAATTTCAAAGTGAAGGACATCTATACCGAGGTAAGGAGGAGCTGAGATAACAGAGGACTTGGGAGACTTGTTTCCCAAGAGGTGAGCAGAACCAGGGATAACGGTGGAGAGGGTTGGGACTTCTAGTTGGGGATCAGGGATGGGGCGGGCATCTGGGAATTGTAGGGGTGAAGTGAAAGATGCAGAGGGTGGCAGAGAGACAGATGGACCGGGGAGGGGGTGGGAAGTTTCTCATGATGCCCTTGCCCTGTGCGCCTGCCCCCTTCAGGGCTGTGTGGAGAAGATTGGGGCCTGGCTGAGGAGCAAGCTGCTGGTGGTAGCTGCAGCAGCCCTGGGCATTGCCTTTGTGGAGGTGAGAGGCACCCTTGGGGTTCATTACAGGGCATCTGGGGAGTAGGGGCTGTGGGAAGGAGTGCTGAGCAGGAGGTGCTGGTCTGGGGAGGGGAGGGGAGCCCAGGGTGTGTTTGGGGTCTCTTGGGTGGTTGGGGTACCATGTCCTTCTGACTCCTCACAAACCCGTCTTTCCTTCTAGGTCCTGGGAATTGCCTTTGCCTGCTGCCTTGTGAAGAGCATCCGAAGTGGCTATGAAGTGATGTAGAGGGTCTGGTCTCTTCAGCCCCTCATCGAGGAGAGTGGGGTAGTATACTCCACATTTTTCAATTAAACGGATTATTTTTTCAGACCGAAAAGACAGTCTGGGTTTGTCTTAATGAGTGATACTTTATCCCTTTTCTCTCCTCACCCATGTTCCTGTACTCTGGGACCTTGTTCTGTTTGCACCTGCAGGAAGGAAAGTCTGTTTTGGGGAGTGTTTGGGAAAGGTGCTGGCTCGGCTGGCCTCGGAAGCGGGGATTGGGAGGGGGCTGCGAGCCGCTGCCTTCTGTCTCCCCATCCTGTGCTTGCCAGGCTCCGTGCTGCCGCTGTCACAAAGCCATCTCTGCAGAAATCGAGGATTCCCCTCAAAGGTCCTACTGGGAGGGGCCAGTCCGCATCTACCGTGGACATCTTCTCCCTGGGCTTCTGTCCAACTGAGGGCCTGGCTCCTTTCAGGGTGGCAATGAGTTGCTCTGATACTTGTGTGACCAGTATCATCCTTCTCGATTTAGATAAGAGAATTTAAGTGGGTACTGCCTTGTTTTTCCATGGAAAGTACCCAACCTGGCCCTGACCCCTCTTTACCATCTTCTTTTGCCCCCCCAGGAAAAGTATGTAAGGGCCATTCCCACTCCAAACACTTCATGAACTGCAACATTACTCCATGTAGAAAATAAACATCCAGTAGTGCCCTCTAGTGGCTCTTTAGGTGCAGCGTCATACGCCACCTAGAGACCCAAGGCAGCCCCCTTACGCCCTCCAGTGGGTGCTGGTTGTTTTGTAGGTACTGAAGAGGCGACCCTGGGCAGTAAGTCAGCCTAGGGTAGTTAACACTTTGAGTACCTTCATTTCTGCCTATTTTATTTTTAAAATACACATTTATTGAGTGCCTGTGTTGTGTCAGGCACCAGGCAGTACCAGGGTGGCGGCAGAAATAACTTGCTGGAAGGCTGGATTCAGTAGGCTGCCTGTGCTGGCTTGGGAAGGACCCAGGTGAGCACAGCATCCACCAGGCTGGCTGGCAGGTAGGAGGCTGGCAGCCAGAGCAGTTTGGCGTCCCAGCCTGGGCTGTAGCGAGTTCTGGGGTGACGCGCAGTCAGGGCATGCTCCAGGCACCTGCTCACCTTGTTCAGGTCTGGGTCACAGATCAGGTTCATGACACGCTGTTGCACTTTCAGGTCTGCAGCCCAGTGGGTGGTTGTAATCAGTGTCCCTGGCCCACTCCAGCCCATCTCAGGCCCTCAGGCTTGTTGCCCAGCAGGGGTGAGAGGGGTTGTTAGTACCATTGCCGGTTTGGGGAATGGGCAGGCTGCACAGGCCTGGGTGTTCTGTAGGGTCCCATTCACCCTCAGCCCCTCCCTGACTGCCCTGCCGACTTCCTCCCAGCAGGCAGGTGCAGGGGTGACCATTCTGGCACTCTCATTTCCCCGCTATGGGCCCAGTTACTCACACTTGGCAAGGAAGTCATCCCCATACAGTGCCTGTGTGGCTGGAGGCAGCCGTGCCCAGCAGGCTTGCAGGGCATTCTCCAAACTCTCCAGGTTTGTCACAGGGGTTCGGAAGAAGCCAGGCTCCACGATGGAGACTCGTACTCCAAAAGGAGCCACATCCCTCCTGGAGTGGGGGGCAGAGAAGGGTTTCTGGGCTTCCTGCCCTTAATGGAAGGGGGATGTTCAGGGACATGCTGGGGGAGGTTAAGATGGGAAAGTCGCTGGACCAGGGACAGGGGTCTCGATGATAAGGTATACCATACTGTCCTGGGATGAGGCAAGTGGGGACAGAGGGAGGGAGGAATTTTTGAAGTTTCTTTCCTCTGTATTCTCTTCTACAACCTAGAGCAGGTGTCCACAAACTCCTTAAAGGGCTAAGTAAATATTTTGGTACTGCAGGACTAAAAATTACAAGATTAGTCCCGGCTGGTGTAGCTCAGTGGATTGAGTGCTGAACTGAGAACAAAGGGGTTGCTGGTCCCGTTCCTGCTCAGGGCACATGCCTGGGTTGTGGGCCAGGTTCCCAGTGGGGGACATGTAAGAGGCAGCCACACATTGGTGTTTCTCTCCCTCTTTTTCTCCCTCTCTTCCTTCTCTAAATAAATAAAATCTTAAAAAAAAAGTCAAAGCCATTGTTGGTTTACTGGTGGTGGCTGCTCTAATCTGGCCTGAGAACCACAGTTTGCCAACTGCAGACGTAGAAGAACCCGATTCCTTTGCTCCCAAAATACAGAAATCCAAGTATAAAGCACGTGTCCCATGATGCCAACTGGAAAATGAAAAAACTGAGGGACAGGGACATGCCTGAATGTCGACGCTGACGTTATTTGCTGGGTGAGGGTGACAAAGCAGGCTTCCTTCAGAAGGTGGGCTTGGCTTGTGGGACTTCTGCCCAGAATTCAGGACCTGCTCCTGTGTTGTCCCTGTCAAGTGCCCACTGCGCTCTCACGGGACTTGGAACATCACTATCTAAGGATGAGGGGCAGCAGAACGGCACAGCCAGGCTCGGAAGGCAAGCAGGCAGTTCCAGTGGTCTGGGGTAAGGTAGGTTCCTCTAAGGGTGCTAACACCTACCTGATAGGGCTGCTGGGAGAGTTAATACAAAGATGTTATGTACGGGTACCAGCTCATCCTAACAGTTGTTATCAACAGTAACACTAATAACAAGGATAGCAGGCTCTGGGGGCATTTTCCATGTGTTAGGTTCTGCTGGGGCTTTAAGGTACCTCACTTTACTCTCAACACCCATGAGGTAGGTCTTTTCCCCCTGATTTACCAGATGAGGGATAAACTGGGGTAAAAAGAACCAAGCTAGTAAGGTCGCAAAGTTCACGTGGGAGGTTGGGATTTGAACCCAGGCCTCTAGTCTAAACCATGCCGAGCCCGAAACTGTCTTTTCTGAATATTCTATGATGAGTTTTAATCATCTCTGCGGGGTAGATGGGAGTTCTTTTGTGAGTGGCCTGGGAGCCTGGGGCCCTGCCCCCTTACCTCAGGCTGTCCGAGAAGGCCTCCAGGCCAAACTTGGAGACACAGTAGCCCCCACCATTTGCTGCCAGGCGACCCAAGACGCTGCTGATGTTAACCACCCGGCCCTGGGCTTGCTGTAGCAAAGGTAGCAGGGCCAGGGTGACCCTGATGGGGCCCAGTGTGTTCACATTCAGCACCCGGTGGAAGTCATCTTGCGTCAGCCACGGCGTGGGCCCAATGGCACCTGCCACCCCAGCATTATTCACCAGACCAAAGAGCCCTGCAGGGAGGTGGGACACAGAGGGTGGGTGGGGCACTCCGGTGGCCCCTCTCCTTCCTGGGAGGGCCTGAGCGCATCCCCTCATGGTCCCTCAGGCTTCCCACAGCCCCTGTGAGGGAACACTGGACACTGTGTTCCCAGTGGCCCAGCCACACTCACCTGTTTCCCCAACGTGGGTTTCCACCCATTTGGCTGCCCGCTGGACACTCTGGGGATCAGTCACGTCCAGCAGGGTGGTGTGGAGGCGAGAGGAGGCTGCCTGCTGTAGGCCCTCGGCCCCCAAGGGGGTCAGGCAGCTGGCCAGGACTCGGAAGCCTCTCTGGTCCAGCCTCAGTGCCAGAAGGCGTCCAAAGCCAGAGTCACAGCCGGTGATGAAGATGAAGGCATCACTGACCGGCAGGCTCTGCCGGTCTCTGAGCAACCACAGTGCTGCCCAGAGTAAGACCCCCAGCAGCAGGGGCAGCCACATGGCTGGAGCCAAGCGATCTGCAGGGGCAGCTGAGGCCGGGCAGGAAAAGGGGTGTAGTTTACTCTGGCACTCAGACCCGTCCCCTTAAGAGTGTCCCTAGCTGGAAGTCTCTGGCTTGAACATTTATCTGCCTGTAGATAAATGGCAAATTATACCTTATCTAGGAAAAGCAGGGATCTGGGAAGACCCTACATTTGTGGGTAACTTAATGAAAAGTGGGTAAGCCGGGTCACATGTGCAACCCTGCTGTAAGGGGGTAGAAGGGTCTCGTCTGCTTTTTCTCGTTTGCTCTCTGGATAATCCAGGGGCATATGAATTCTCTAAGTGTAAGCTGGCTTTGTTTTAGGAAACACACATGGGACAAAGAACCCTGCATTTCAGTCCTGGTGGCCCCAAACTTATTGTGTGATCTGAGCACCTCATTGCGTCTCTGAACCTGATTTCCCGTTTGCTGGGTGGGACTAACACCTACCAAGACCACCAGGGAGGTGAGCAGGATCAAGGGAAAATATGTGAGGAAGCATGTTAAAAGCTTAAAGCTTTGAGTTTTACCAATACTTGTAAGATCCTGCAAGTCTTCTCCTAGCACCCCGGCTCCCAGTGCCCTGCTTACCTGCTTCGGAAAGTCAGCAGGTACTACAACACCGGAAGCGTCTTCTTTTGCTTTGTTTGAGAAACTCTGCTCCCAGCCTCCCCAGGCTCTCACATGAACTGCAGCTAAGGCCAAAGTCCTCAGAGGGTGGACTGGGCACCAGAAGTATTAAGCGTATGTGAGGGAGGACTTGGGGGAGGAGTCCGGGAAGCTGAAGCCTGCTGGCTGAGGCCAGGGCTTGGCACAGGCCAGGCAACCAGGCCCCTTCTCGCTCTTTTCCAGCTGGGGTTCCTGACTACCTCTGACGCGGATTCCCAGGAGGAGGGATGTATCAACTTTGGCAGCTGTCTCTCCCTGTTGGTGACTCTGGACCCGTCATTCCTCTTCCTTCCCAGCCCCGAAGTGCCCCCATGCTCAAGAGTTTATCTCCCGCCTGGCTCAGACTCGTGACACGGCTTAGCACCAGGCTGGGAGAGGTCATGGGCACATGGGAAGGCAGAGCACCAGAGCCAGGACCAGGCCTGCTCCCTGTCTGATTTCTCCCCTGTAGGAAACGGAAGTCCTGAGTTAGGATGCCTGGAGCAAAGGCCCCACCGTGACCTTCTCTGGGGAGGTGTGGGAAACTCCCAACCTTTGCTTACCCAACAGGCATTTGTACCAGGCCCGAGGAGAGAGGGAAGTTGAGATAGTAAGAGGAAGCTGGTTCCACCCTCTACCCAGAAGGTGCCTGTCCCTTAAGGAAACAGTCTTGACCCTTCCATTCCCACCCTCCATGCTGAGCTAGTAGCTCCTTGACACGTACCAAAGAGAAATGGGAACTCGTGTTTTATTTGTGGCCCATTAGCTTCCCTCCTACCCCATGGGGAGGGCACAGGGGTAGGAGGGAGGTAGAGGAGGAGGGGGAGGGGCTAGGATGGGGCAGACTGCAGCTGTCCTTTGTAGACATACTCCAGGGCGGTGGCAATGGTGCGCATGTCGAGCTCGATGCTCCGAGCCCAGTTCTCCACATCCCCGATTTCCTGGGAAGGGGAGGGAAGGGGAGGGGGTGGGAGTCCATAAATCAGGGTGGGTAGAGTGTGGCTCTAGTGGATGGATGGGGATACTTTCCACTCACCCTCTCCGTACAAAGGGCTTTGCTTGGACCCACCAACTGCCTTTACCTCTTTCTCTAGCCTCTCTGACACTGGAGCCACAGATGAGATTTCTGAGGCCACACCCACTTCTGCCTTAACCCCAGGCCTGAGGTCACCCTATTGGAGGCAGTCAGTGGGGACCCAGTATGGGGCTGGTGATGTGGGGAGTGTGGCCCACCTTGAGTGCCTGGTTGAAGTTCTCCACCATCCCGATCCATTGGCCTGTCTGCTTGGCAAACTGGGCAGCCTGGACCTGTAGGGTCTTCACCTCATGGTCCAGCTTTCTTTGGTTCATGTAGGCCTGGGCCACACTAGAGGTTGGAGGAGGGAGGAGGTCAACTCAGCCAACTAGTGGGAGTGGCCTCCGGGGCTAATATCCTACTGCAAGAGTGGGAGGCCAGCCAGGGGTCAGGCTGGGGAAAACCTGTGATTTTAACCATTATGGGATGCAAAATAGACTAGTACATGCAGATGAACCCAGCTCCTTCTCCCCATGCCCAGGAGACCCTAGCCAGGAGCTGACTAGAAACATACCATCTCCTATTCTCCAAAGAGAGTTCCTGGAGCTGGGTGGGGCAAGTTAGGGCTAATCTGGTAGAACATCCCTGAATAAAAAGCTGGGAAGGAAAAGGTGGTATGAGGAAGCTGGGAAAATCCAGTAGCAGGCACACATCTGGTAGCAATTGGAAGCTCAGGGATCTGCGTTAAAATGTTCAGAAAGGAACTTGGGCCACTCCCTGAATCTGGGGTGGGATGGGAGAGCACCCCCTCCCCAGGAACTCAGGGTCCAGAGAAGATCTCCCAGGGACTGCTTCTTGGCTCTCAGTCTCTCTCCCAACCCTTCTCCTCTTGCATACAAATGAATGAACACGTGTGCAATTTCTCCCTTCCTTCTGCTCCATGCAATAGTTTTTCTTTTCTCTTCAATCAAGGTACTGGCTTCGGCTACCATTACTGCCATGAGGTTGCTATTCTCAACTCTCTGCCTGACTCTATTCCCCCTAACCCCCTCCTACAATTGTGCAATAATTGTTCTCTCTTATTGGCTGGTGAATCTTTCATTCTCCACCCCAAAGCTTTGGGTCAGCTGGGAGACTCCACATCCGGAGCCCCCACCCACTGGAATCTGTGGGGGCTGGAGGGGGCACGGGGTTAGGGCGTCGAAGGAGTGGGAAGGACACCTGACAGGGGTTGAGATAGATGGAGCCTTTGTGTTCCCTTCTGGGGAATGAGAGGGGGGGCGTGGGCAGCAACACAAAAACCTTTCTAATCTGGCTTTGGCTTAGCTGCCCTCTAGACTGAAAGTGGGGTGGCCCCTAGCACAGGAAGAGGAGAGGGAGAAGCCTGGGCCAGCCTCACAACAGAGCCGGGAGGCACCAACGTGGGAGGGAGGAGAGGGGGTAGACCCCGTCTCCTCTCTCTGGGGACAGCCGGGCCACAGTAGGAGATGGGGTAGGAGCTGAAGCAGGAAGAGCAAGAGGCTCCCAATGTTTCAAAATTCCTCTGGAGGGAGTTCCTGAAATCCCAGTTTTCCCTGTTGATCTCCTGCTTTCCGTTATTCATGCTGAGTGACGGGAGAGGCCTGGAGAGGAGGGAGATCAGGCCCCACCCGCAGCCTTGTCTTCCCCTAATCTTCCACAGACATGAGTAATGAAGACGAAAGCCCCTGCTTGGCTCACTTGGGTGACTCAGTCTCTGGATTCATAAGTATGCCATTCTATTTGCCCCACAAAATTGTCATCTCTGTACTCTCTTTGGTCACTCAGGGTCAAGAGACAATATTCTTTGCTCCTTCCCAACTTTTTGGTTGTTAATGGCGTTTTCATTTAGGACTGGAGCAGGAGGTGGTCCCTGGAGACCCAGCAGGAAGGGCAGAGACAGCCTGGCTCTCCTGTAGCTCCTGGCATAGATTCTACCCTCACCCTCACCAGCTGTGCCATCTCTTTCCTGCCAGCTGCTCCTCAGGCCTGCCAAAGGGTGGGAGGCGGAGAAGGAGAGCTGGTAAGCCATGGTGAAGGAGGGCACCCTCCCTCCCACCAAAGTGACAGCTGGACTTGCATGGGTGAAGAACGGCAGGCAGATGGCAGCAAGTTGTGAGCACCAGGGAGAAGTTAGGGTGGAGAGGGGGAAATCTGGCTGCTTTCCAAACAACTGCAGCTGCTCCTCCCTGCCCCATGTTACCGGTCAGAGGTGACTCAAGCCTCTCTCCATAAACTTAAGCTGGGTGGGGGAAGGGTAAGAGAAAGGCAACATCTCATCCCTTCCAGAGTAGTCTGCTCGCTAGACCTAGCCTGTGCCTACACTGGGGTGGGGACAGCTGGTGTTGGTGGGAAGAGGTTCATACCCCACATTGAGGTGATCCACCAAAGCTTCTGTCAGGCACGTCGCCGCAGTGATTGCCTCTCTTCTCCTCTTTTCTGGAGGCAGGGGGAAAGGGATTGGAATGGGGACTTGGTTTTTTAAGGGGTGATGCTGAAGGTTTCCCACTCCTTCATGACATTCTGCTAGTTTTGGGAACATCTAACTAATCTCAGAGTACAAGAACTGTAAAGAACTTTGCCAAACACAAACACCTTTCATTTTAGAGGCGAGGGCGCTGGTACCCTGAGAGGGGAAGCGACTTGTCTAGGGACACCAGTGGGTCAGTGGCAGCGTCCAGGGCTCCAGACTCCCAGGCACTCTGTTGCCATTTTCTTGGCCTATGGATTGGTAACTCCGGGATTCCAAGCCCAGGTTCAGGAAACAAGCTCCCCACGCCTGTCTCCGTGGTTTCAGGCCTCAGAGAATGCCCTCCTCCCTTCAGGACCATCCCCTCCCACTTCCACTGTGAGGGGCTGCCTGGACCAATCGGCACAGCGTTCTGTGAGCAGGGGTGGGACTAGAAGGTCCTGGAGTCCGAGCGTGGTGGACGTTCCGAGGGGGGCAGGGGTGTTGCTAAAGGGACCAGAGCCCGTTGGCACCAAAAAGACCCCCACCCCCCGACTCCTCTGCCCACTAGCCCGCGCTCTTCCCTGGAACTGGGCCGTTACTCGAGGTCCAGGCTCCGGGCTGAGGCTAGGCCGCGGCGGGAGCGAAACCGGCAGACACGACGACATCGGCTCACCCTGCAGCTCCTTGCGCTCATTCTGCTTAGCTTGGTGTTCCTTCAGCAGGCGGGACAGCATGTTGGCGCCGGGCTGTGGGCTGGGAGGCGGGACACACCCAGCCCCCTCCGACTCCGGGAGCTGAACCGCAGCGCCCCGCTTGTGCGGGGCCCGGATCACGTGTCCTCACTGTCACGTGAGGCCAAGACACGCCCCCCGCCCCTTTGAGTCAGGTTGGCAGGTAGTGAAGATCTTTCCTGGGAAGAAAGGGAAGAAGGGGAATGGTAGAGGGTTGGGGGCAGGCGAGCTCTTGTCTTTATTCAGGGTTCACTTTTAATGAGTGTTGGAAGAAGTGTTTAGCGCTCATACAGCAGGGACGATTTTAAACAACTCTTTTGAATTTCAGGCTCCCTGACGTGGGGCGGGCGGGGCGGGTGGGAGGGAGGTTGGTGTTGCCCGGAGGTCCCTCACGGTTTGGTTGTTGCGGGACCAGAGGCTGTCTGATCTCGCTGAAATTCTTTTCCTTCCTGGCCTTTCCCTCGGGGCAGCTCGGCCAGTTCTCAGTGATTGGCACCTCCTTCCCTCTAGGAGGGACTGCTTTCTTTTCTTTTCCAGCCCTCTCTCTTCTCACCACTGCCGAGGTCCCTCAGCGCTGGGTGATCTTGGTAGAGAAGCAGCATTTTAGGCACTTCGAGCAGCTTCCTAGGGAGCTTTGCTGATTTGAGTGGCTAGTACGGAAACGTGCGTGCAATTCCATTTCCTTCTGTGGTCAGGGAATGCGAACCCTTCTCAGTCTTAACCAGAAGACTAAGTGCTGCTGCCAAAATATAAGGTAAATTATATAACACTGCTCTGAACTAAGAAAAATTATAAACATCATCAACATATTCTTGCTGTTGCCACAGTCTCTCTGGGTGTACCAGGCACTAACATGCTGGGTGATTTTGGGCAGGTTGCTTGCCCACTCTGGATTTCGGTTTTCTCCTCAGTAAAATAAATAAAATATAGTAAAATAAGGGGATTGGATTAAAACAGTGATTCTGAACCCTGCCTAAACATTAGAATCACCTGGGGGAAGTTTTAAAAAAATGCCCTGGCCCTAGATTAATTAGGTCTTGGAGGAGTGGAGCCCAGGCATAAGTATTTTTTAAAAGGTTCTTCAGACGATTCTAAAATGCATCAAAGGTTGAGAGTCACTGGACTAAATTATATCTAAAGCTATCTCTGCGAAAAGTAATTTTAAAAATAAATTAATTTAAAAAAAGAAAAGGAAAAGAAAGCTATCTCTAACTTTGGCATTCTCTTGTTTTGTGAGTGAGTTACAGAGTTGGAACTTGCCTTTATCTCATCTACTTGCAGGGGGAGGAGAAACAGGTGCTGAGTTAGAATAAAACATCCTTTCTGGTTTTCTGAGGAAGAGCTGGGGACTCCTGATGGCTTGATTTACTCAGCTATTTGCAGAGTAGCATCTTAAATCCTGGGAGATGTGCGACCATCAAAGGCTCAGTGAGTTAAACGGCTCAGTGGCAGCAAAAGCAGGACGTTAAGGGCCAAGATAAAAATTCTGAAAGGAAAGCGGTCCCTCCTAGTGGGAAGGAGCTGAGAATCGACCAAGAACCGGCTGGAGCTGCCAGGAGGGAAAGGCCAGGAAGGAAGAGAATTTCAATGAGTCCAGGGAACCTCTACTCTGGTACTTTACACGTATTAATTAATTTAATCTGTAGAAGTATCTTGTAGATTATTATAATTGTCACCCCCAGTTTGCAGATGAAGACTCTCAGGTACACGGCAGTGAAGTAACAGAGCTTACAAAAAGTAGAGCTTGGATACAAATCCAGGCTATCTGACCCCAAAGCCTGAATGTAACCCCTGCACTACACTGCACATACCGTGGGAGAGACCCCGGAAGGGGTGGCCCTGTCTCTTGTCACTATGCCCTTCCAGCCTGGGCATCTGTTGAAGGGGATGGCAGGGGAGGAGTGTTTGGGAAGAGGCTCCTCTCCAGAGAAGCTGATCATTAGAAGCGGGAAGAGTGAGAGCATCACAGGGCAGCCTGGCCCAGCCCTCCCCCCACTCTGGCTCCAGCTTCTAACTGCAGTGATCAAGCAAAACAGAGGCGGACTGGAAGATGCCTGGTGCCTCACTCCCAGAGCTGTGGGGCCTGGGAAAGAAGGGCAGCAATGAGAAGGGGTACCAGAGAATGGTGACTTGGGGGCTAATGAGGGAGGTTGGTGTCGTGGGTTTCTGTGGAGAGCCGGTCATTGTTAAGATTAGGCTGACTCAGTGAGAGTGCCAGGCCCATCCTGTATTACCCTCACCCTGCTTGGCACAACCATTTGACATTTGCACAATCAGTACAGAGATTGCCAGGATTCTGTGGACATCAGCCCTTCCCTCTTCTCCTAAACACTGGCTATTCCTTTGCCCTAGAGCTGGACAGAGGACATGGGTACTTGTATCTGCAGACAGCAGCTGATCTCTCCAGTCACCCTCCAGTTGTTCCTTTTCTGGGTCCTTGCGTATTGTCTAACTTCAGTTTCTGCTGCAGTTTAAGTTCAGCCCCACTTGCTTTTGGTAGAGATGGAGAAAAGCTGCACGCATATCCAGGGAATGAGTCTCGATAGTTGAAATCTCTTTCTGCCCACCTCTCTTTACAGTCCCCCACCCAGATTATTCTCCCTCAGCCTGAATGAATACAACTCCATGCTCTTTTCCTCCACTCATTTTTCTGTTCTTTTGAGGGCTCTTTCAGAGTTAGCTTTAATTAGCAAGCTTCAAGCCGACTGATTAGGCTACACGTTAGGGCCAGAAGCTGCTGAATTGTTAGGGGTTGGGTGAGGACTGAGGGAGGACATGGCGTGAGTGGAGAAGGCTTCTCATACTGGGAAATCTGGCTGGGCTTCAAGAGGGGGGGCCGTTGGTGGTGTGGCCAAGTTCCAAATGTTGGCCGCAAGCCAGTGTTCAAAGAAAAGGGGCCCTTGAGACAGTTTAAATGGCTCCTTGTGGGAAGTGATCTTCTAGTCCTTCTTCCCAAGATGCAAGGATTTCTCTTAAACCCTCAAAGACCAGAGTGGTCATTTCCCCAGACACTGCTCTCAATCACACTTATATTCTTTCTCCCAGCCACTCCCATAGTTCAAGCTTTGACTATGGCCAGAATTCAGAGGCAGGCAGAAGGATTCCAGTGCTGGAGAGGTGGGTGGGGCGAGAAAGTCATCATGTTGTGTGTGGTGAGGAGGAAAAGACTGACCCTGGGACAAATGCTTCACGGCTCTGCTGCCAGATGAGGTGGAAGGAGAAGTTAACCCGGCAGTGCGTGTTCTGGAGGTCTTCATTTGAAAGCAGCTGAAAAATAGGGATCCCAGATGGAGGGGAACACTGGTAGAGGGGGGAAGGGCTGGAGAAAGCCTCGGATCCCACTTGAACAAGCATTGCTGAGCCTGGGCATTTATCAATTTTTAAAATTATTTTATTTTTATTTATTTAATTTTTAGACGGAAGGGAGGGAGAAATAGAGGGAGAGAAATATCAATGCATGATTGCCTCTCATGTGCTCCCTACTGGGGACCTGGCCTGCACTCCAGGCATGTGCCCTAGACAGAATAGAACTAGTGACCCTTTGGGTCAAAGGTTGGTGCTCAATCCACTGAGCCACACCAGCCAGGGCTAAAATTACTTTAAAATCGTTACAGACTCAGAGGAAGTTGTAAAAATAGTACATGAAGTTCCTGTGTATACTTTTCCCAGCTTCCCCCAGTGGTGACATCTCACATAGCTGTAGCACAACATCAAAACCAGGAGCCTGATAGAGCCACAATACTATTAACTAATCTACAGGCCTTACCCATTCTTCACCAGTGTTTCACACACATTCATTTGCATGTGTGTGTATGCATGTGTGGTTCTATGCAATTTTATCCCATGTATAGATGCAAATAACCACCACCAAAATCAAGATACAGAATGCTTCATCACCACAAAGGAACTTCCTATGCTAGCCTTCTGTAGTCATTTCCCACTCCATCCCCAGGCAATCACTAATCTGTTCTTCATCTCTATAGTTTCATTATTTTGAGAATTTTTTTAAAGATTGTATGTATGTATGTATGTATTTATTTATTTAAGATTTATGTATTTTTAGAGGGAGGGGAAGGGAAGGAGAGATACGGAAGAAGAATGAGAGGGAAAGAAACATCAATGTGTGGTTGCCTCTTGTGCGCCCCTTGCTGGGGACCTGGCCTGCAACCTAGGCATGTGCCCTGACTGGGAATCAAACTGTGACCCATTGGTTCACAGGCCCTCACTCAGTCCACTGAGCCACAGCAATCAGGCTGTATTTATTTATTTTTGGAGAGAGGGTAAGGGACAAAGAGAGGGAGAGAAACATTAATGTGTGGTTGCCTTTTGCATGCCCCTTCCTGGGGACCTGGTCCGCAACCCAGGCACATGCCCCAGACTGAGAACCAAACCAGTGGCCCTTTGTTTTGCAGGCTGGCACTCTATCCACTGAGCCATACTGGCCAGGGCTGAGAATGTTGTATGAGTGCAATCGTATAGTATCAGCGTTTGTTTTAATTTACTGAATTCCCAAACTCTTGACTCAGATACAAGAAGTTCTCTGGCAGGTTGTTTATTCTAATGTTCAGCTTCCTCCATTCTTAGGATCCCTCTAGCTTCTTCAGTCCCCTCTTTACCTACAATACTTCTGTAATAGTATTGCTTTCTAGTCCAACAATCTGGCATCACTTCTCCATTAGAGAAAATCTAAACTCACCAGGCTGCTCTAGAGCTCTTGCATGTTCCCGCCAGCCCTTGCCCCACTATTTATAGGCAAGCTAATTTTGGGCAGCCTTTCTCTCTCTCTCTTTTCCTTCTCCTTCCTCCTGTGGCAGTGAGGTGACTTCTCAAATATTTGGGCAGAGGAGGTCAGAAGCAGATTCTTGGCGTCTGATTTCAGCCTCGGATTTAGCAGGAGCCAGTGGAGTGCAGCTGGAGGGAGGCCGAAGCTGTAGGTGCAGAAAGGGAGGCAGCTGGGGCTCCAAAGGCATTCTGACCCTGGCTGGAGGTCCGGGCTCAGAGTCAGCAGTCCCGGGTCCTTTCTTGATTTTACTATTTTGTATTCTCATACCAGCTCTTCTCTATTGTCTGTGGCCCTGAAATAGAAAAGGGATGGGAGAGCATATCTGGGGGGTAATAACAGTAGGAGACCAGTGCCAGCCTAGTGGCAGTACTTGTACTTCCTTAGCAGCACCTGTTTAGAGGTTGCCTAGTTCCCTGGCCACAAATGTAATATTGTAAATAGTAATTTGGAGGTTTGTTAGTAATTTGCACCCAGAGCAAGGATTGTCAAAGGGCCAGCAGAATGAGAGTCTACTTGTTTGTTTAAAAGTATAATCTTGGAAGCCTTGGCTGGTGTAACTCAGTGGACTGAGCAAGGGCCTGCAAACCAAAGGGTTGCCGGTTTGATTCCCTGTCAGGGCATGTGCCTGGGTTGTGGGCTGGATCCCCAGTGCGAGGGCTCAAGAGAGGCAACCACACATTGATATTTATCTCCCTCTCTTTCTCCTTTCCTTTCCCTCTCTCTAAATAAATAAATAAATATTTAAAAGAAGAAAAAAGTAAAACTATAACCTTGGACAAAGAAGTAAGAGAAATTGTCAGGTGGGATAATCCTCACCTGTTTCTCCTTTTTGTAGAACAGGCTTGAATATGATGATTGGAGTTCACATGATTCGTGATTAACGTCTCTACGGAGTCAGGACTTGAAACACCCTGATTGCTCTTATCTGATTAAAAAAAAAAGAAGTAAGAGACAAAGGGAGCATGTGAAGAAGAACTAGGTAGGACACATATTGCAGCTTTTAAGAAAGGGAGGGAGAAGACAGAATATAAAAAATATGACAGCATTTGAGGGGCAGAGAAAACATTAGAGACACAGAAATAGTCTGAGGAAGACGCAGAAATATTCCAAGAAGGGGGAAAAAGTAGAGTTTGGGATGAGAGAAAACCAAAGAGAGAGAGAGAGAGAGAGAGAGAGAGAGAGGGAGAGAGAGAGAGAGAAGTAAAGAGGAGAAGAGAGGAAAGGAGAGGAGAGAGAAAAGATGGACTCCGGGATATACACAAGACCAACACCCAGTAAGAAAGACAACTAGGAAGGGAAGGTGGGAGCAAGTGAGGTTCCATTTGTGCCAAATTATTTCCTATCTCTCCTCCAGGCCCCATTTCTGGATTGGAGTTATAAATAGCAGAGAGTTGGAAATGTCCCCCCTCCCTTTGATTCTATCTCAACCTAGGGGAAGGGAGAAGAGGCACAGGCCTGCAGGTCCCCTAGGAAATTCCCAGGAAGCCCCACCCAGCTCCTGCCCGGGCCAGCCCAGGACTCTGCCCCGTCCGGTCCTCTCCCCTTTGGAGGGTGGGAAGTGCGCAGTCCTGGAAAGGTCTGGGAGCTGGAGGCATCCTTCCCGTCCTTCTGCCTCCTGGGTCCAATCTCTCGTCTCTGCCTTTCTTTGGCACCCCCTTTCTCCCAGCCTATGTTCCTCTGCGTCTATCAGCCTCAGGCTGTTTTTCTTGTTTTCTCCCATCTTTTGTTGATCACACTCTTGCCTTTCTTTCTCCATCTATTTTCTTTCTTTCTTTTTTGTTTGTTTCTTTCTACCTGCTTCCTTTGCTTCTCTTCCTAGGCCTGCTGAGTTTTTCTCTCTTTTTGTCAGTCTTTCCCTCTCTTCCCTGAATGCAGACGAGGTGTCACTTGCTAGGCTTGGGGGCGTGGTGTGGGGAGAGGTGGGAAGCAGTTTGAGTCGAACAGTGTGAGAAGTGTTCCATGTGACCAAGGGGAGAAGCGAGCGCTAAGGGGCCAGATGGGACCCAGGCTCGAGATCGCTCCCCTTTCATTTCCTCTCTTTCTGTGTGCCTATCTCTCTTCCCAGACTCCTTTAGCCTCATCCATTTCTCATCTCTTTACCATCTTTTTCTCTTTTTCGATCCCTCTCTGGCTCCCCATGCCTTGGCGCCTCCTCCAGCCCCCCCCCCACCCCCAGCAGACACCCGCAGGAGTGAGGGGAAGAAGAGAACTCTGAGCCCAGTGGGGCGGAGCTGGGGCGGGGCTGGGGGGCCCCGGCGCAAGGCCAGGTCTCTCGTCCCGCAGACCGCCCGGGCATCCCTCTGCGCTGCGGCCTCCACCTGCCGCGGAGCCGCGGAGCTGGAGGGCGGGCAAGGGCGGGGCGGGGCGTTGCCCGTGGGGGGGTGCGGAGGCGGGAACCTCAGTGGATGCAGAGAGCCCGCAGCAGTCCGGCCGGTGTGGTGCTTGGGGCGGTGGATCGGTGAAAGATTGGGAGACCCCTGAAGACCTGTGGGACTCCATACCCGGCACCCGCCTGAGAGACCTGGTGCTCGGGCGCTATCCAGTTTCCTTGCGCCCGTGGGGAGCGCGCGCAGGGTTCACCGATGGCCAGGACTCTGCGCCTCAATCCTCGAGGCCCCCCGGGGATTTGTTACCTTCTTGGCACCCTTCTAGCTGGACTGCTTTCCCCACGGGCTGTCGCCTTCAATCTGGATGTGATGGGCGCCCTGCGCAAGGAGGGTGAGCCAGGGAGCCTCTTCGGCTTCTCTGTGGCTCTGCACCGGCAGTTACAGCCCAGACCCCAGAGCTGGTGAGTCACCGCGCCCGCCCAGAGTCCCTGTGCTCGAACCACGGATTCCCCACCCCTGCCTCATCTCTCAGTCTTCGAACCCCACGAAGACTCGACTGTCTATAGATATCCTGCACCCCAGTTTGGAGCCTCACCCCATCTATCTCCAGCTTGGAGGGTACACTCGAACCCCAAGACCCAGGCTCTTGCTTTGGGGATGAGCTGTAGAGCAAGGTTCTTGTCTTGGCAGGAACTATCTTTGTTTGCTCCCCCGCCCCCCACCCGCCCCCCAGCTTGCATCTTTGCTCCAGTCCCAGGGTGCGTGGCTCCCCCCCCTCTCCAGAGGGCCGAATTCCCTCAGGGAGGAGGACTGAGCGTGCTGTCTCTGCTTAGGGCAGGAAGAGAGGGGAAGGACAGAGAAGAGAGGCTAAAGGTGCTGTGGGAGGGGTAGAGGGTAGGCTCCAGAAATAACTTCCTGCCAGTGCGTTGCTGTAGGATGGGATCAGGGCAGCAGGACACCGCGGACCCAGGAGAGACCTGCGCTTCTGTGGCTGGAGACCACTGGAAAGCTGGGAGAGAACTTGGTGGGGTCTGGCAACCTGCACTGCGGGTTTCAGTGAGAGAGCGCGGCGGGAAACGGAGCCCCCAAAAGGTGCAGCAGCAGTGAGACAGACAGAGATCCAGGAAGGATGCTGGCCAGGCTGTTCCCCTTCCTCCTCAGGAAATTTCCAGCTCCAGGAGTCTCAGCAGTGGGGGAGGCAGGGAGCAATGAGGGTCAGAGGACAATCCTGGTTATTTTCTAATCAGTTCAGGACCCACAGGAGAAGGACACACTTGTGAGGGGCTTGTGACCGTGGTGCTTTGTGTATTGTTTGCTCTAGCTGCGTGTACGGTTTTAAAAAGTGAGACGGGAAGGGGAAGAGAGCTTCCCACCTTCTCCTGCCAAAGAGCTTTTCTCTCCTAGGCCAAGCCTAAGCCACACTAAGTGTCCATTACTGGGATCGATGCCATCCACAGGGACTGCGTTCTCCCCGCTACTACTGGCCTGGGGGCAGAGGGTGGTGACAAGAGCTCATTTCTCTTTTCCTGCTCAGGGACGGGGGCGGATAGCTCTGATCTTTTTTCTGTTATTATCCCTGTCATCAGGGAGCAGGGTCAGTGGTCCCCAGAAGTCTGGAACACATAGAAAGCAACTGACTTCATCTCATCTTTAGTGTTCCGTCTGCTTCCTTCCCTCATCTGTCTCCCTTCCCCCTTCCCCCATCTGCCAGACTTCCAGAACTGGAGGCCTTTTTAGGACATGCTGAACTCTCTAAGCTATTTCCAGGCAAATTCTAGGTTATTTTTAATAGCTTGGTCTCTTGTCATTTCCCCCTCATCTCTGAAGGTGGCCCCTGACTCTGTCCCCCGGAGTCAAGCTGAGGGCATTCCCCCAGGGGCCTGACTGACTAACCCGGGGTTTTGCTCCAGCAGGGGGCGCTCTTCTGCCTTTTGGCCTGTGGGAGACCAAGTACCTGGCTTATCCCTAGGTTTCAAGTTCCAGGTCTCCTTCTCCAGCATGTAAAATGCTTAGAACAGTGCAGGGCGCATAGTGAGTGGTATAATTCCTGTATTGGGATCCGCAGACCTAGAGAATAGGTTCAGCACCTTACAGCAAGCCCAGATCCAAAGGCTTGGCTGGAGCACTCCCAAGCTGAGCCGGCCTTCGTTCAGGCCCAGCACTATCCGCAGAAGGCCACCCAGATGAGAGAGTCGGAGGGGGCTGGACTTGGGTGGGAGCCTGGAGTGAGTGGAGAACTAAGAAGTGTAGTGGTCGTGGGCTTCTCTTTCACCTTCACTTGGCCCAGCTCCCAGGGAGTCCCTCTGCCCCCAGCTGCCAATAAGATTTTGCTTTTCTCGCTGTGGTGGCTGCAGCTGTGGCTACTGTTCTGTCCGGAGCCTTTGGAGTATTTGGGGATCATGGGATAAAGCCAGGAAGAAGCGTGTGGCTGGGGCCGAGGTGGAGGGACCAGAGAGGCTGTTTGTGGGAACTCTTGTTCCAAGAAGGATGGGCTGGTCTGTTCACCACGGGTGGGGCTGTGTGGATTCATGTGCTCAACTTCTTTCCTCCCTGTAGACCCCTCCCCTCCCCCCTTCTCTCCTCTTGACCCCCAGAGGAGATGTGAACACTGGACACTGACTGTTAGCTTCTCCTGGGGCTCAGCTATGCGCTGACCATCTGAGACACTGCCTGCCTCTGGGGGTCCACGTGATAGTGTGGCTTGGCCTCCCAGGGGGCCGGCACGAAGATGAGTAAGAGCGGTCCCCGGTTCCAAGAGACGGCCGCCTCTGTGCTGGCATTACTGCTGACTTGTCTGAAGGTTGGCCACGCTGCCTGGTTTCTTTCTCTTTTTAAAAAATCCTCACCCAAGGATATGTTTATTGATTTTAGAGAGAGAGGAAGGGGGAAAAGAGAAAGAAAGGGTGGGGAAGAGGGAGAGAGAGAGAGAGAAACATCGATAGGTTGCTTCCTGTATCTGCCCTGACTGGGGTTGGAACCTGCAACCTAGGTACGTGCCCTGACAGGGAATTGAACCTGCTACCTCTTGGTGTATGACTCAGTGCTCCAAGCAACTGAGCCACCCCTTTCTGGATTTGTGGAGGAGTCTCAGTGTTCTGGACATGGCCTGTCACTGGCTGTGGTGGACAGGCACGGGCACTGGAGTGAGGCAGATGTGCATTTGAACTCCAGCATACCATTTCACGTCTCCGAGTGTCCTGTTCTGAAAGACCAGAAAAGGAGCCTTACATGGGATTGTTGTGAAGATTGAGATAAGGCATGTAGCTTGCCTAGCCCAGCACCTAGGCGGAGAGTGATAAAGTTCCTCATGTCCCTGGCATGCAGCCTGGGCCTGACCCAAAGTAGGCGCTGAATGAATATTCCTTCCTTGCCTCACCAGGGCCTGACACAGGGCTCGGCAGATAGGTTTTCAATAAATAGTTGTTAACAAATGCCGAATGCACGCCACGCTCTCCTCCCTACCATGACCCCTCCCCCGCCCCTGGTCTGTCTCTTGACACTGGCTCTGACACGGGGTGACAGCTGGGCAGAGACGAGGAGGAGTTGTGGGAAGGGAGAGTGGCTCTGTGCCCTCCCCTCCCCCTGCACCAACAGAAATGGCACAGTGCCCCACAGATGCCTGTCTGCAGTATTGCCCCACACGGCTTTGGGCCCCTCCCCCAGGAAGGGGGATGGAGGGAAGCAGTGTGGGAGAGAGGCCTTGACATTTGCCCTGCTGCCACTTTTGAGTCTCTCATTCTTCAAAAAGAGAATCCTTGTAGCCAGCTGGGTGACAATCACCTCATCTCGCCCCCTCCTCCACTCCTGGCCTGAGGGTTCAGCCTCAAGGGACCCAGGCAGCCTCCATTCCCAGCACAGTCCTCGCAGGGAAGAAGCCTTGGCTGTGATTATGGAAAATTGTCCTGCCAAGAAAGTTGTAGCTGGGAAAGTGTCTGAGGGGGAGGTAGGAGAGAAGACTGGGAGGGGGTGGCAGTGGGGTGGGGTGAGAGGAATGGGAAAATTGTAGCTGTGAGGAGGGGAAGGGAGGATGGGAAAGAGGATTCAGGAAGTGAGGGGAGAATAGAGGGAACATCAGAGATCAGGGGTATTTGTCCCTATCTTGCTGCTGGCTGGAGTGACGGACAGACTCCTGGGCTGGCAGGTTTGCTGTCAGTGGGGTCTTTGATGGGTTCCTGATGGAGTGGGAGAAGCAGGCCTATATCTAGGCTCTTGCTTGGCCTTCAAAGCCGATCCCTGGGCCACCTCATGGTGCCAGTCTGGGCCCCCGTTACTTTGGCTCCCAGCGTTCTTGGCATTTCTGGGAAGGTTTCAACAGGACTGTGAAGGAGGGCAGAGCTTGGGGATGGGCCAGGGAGTGGGAGGAAAGGCCTGGTCAGGAACAGGTGCTGGGACAGGCGGTTCTTTCAAACTAGCAGTGCTGGCCAGGATGCTTGGGCTGCCGTGTTTGTACACATGTATCTACAGTACGAGCATATGTAATGTGACGATTGCATGGCCAATGCAAGTGTATTAACCTGCCCTTGTCAGGACTTGGGAAATGGGCTTTGGGTCCTTGTCTGCGCCCTTCAATACTCTGTGTGGTAGTGAGATGTTGGGCCTGGGAAGCTCTGTGGGGTGGGAGGATTTGGACTGCTAACTCCTCCCCTGCCCCATCATGTAGGCTGCTGGTGGGTGCCCCCCAGGCCCTGGCTCTGCCTGGGCAGCAGGCGAACCGCACCGGAGGCCTCTTCGCTTGCCCCCTGAGCCTGGAGGAGACTGACTGCTACAGAGTGGACATTGATCGGGGAGGTATGGGCCCTGTGGGAGTGGAGCGGTGGCAGCTCATGAGGAGGGGGGGAGAGGACCTGGCCTCCGCTTCCCTCCCCTAATTCCCGGTGTCCTGCCTCCAGCTGATGTGCAGAAGGAGAGCAAGGAGAACCAGTGGCTGGGAGTGAGTGTTCGGAGCCAGGGGCCGGGAGGCAAAATTGTGGTGAGTGCCACTACTGTGACTGTGTATGCCAGGGCGGCGGTGTGTGTGTGTGGGGGTGTGCATATGGACGGATGTGCTTACAGAGCACAGGCTGGGCATTTGGTATGATGGTCTGATTCCCAGCACCTCAAGGAGAGAGAAAAAATGTGTAAGATATGGCCCCTGTCCTTATAAATTTAAACCATCTAAACATTCGTCCATCCATCCCTTTGTCAAACTCTTACTGAGTAACTTTTAAGCATCAGTCCTTGTGCTAGTTATTGACAGAGGATATGTAAAGACAGGGAAGCCCTGGCTGGTGTGTGGACTCAGTGCTGGCCTGTGAACCAAAGGATCAGCAGTTCGATTCCCAGTCAGGGCACATGCCTGGGTTGCGGGCCAGGTTCCTCACCCCCTGTGTGTGAGAGGCAGCCACACACTGATGTTTCTCTCCCTCTCTTTCTCCCTCCCTTTCCCTCTGTCTAAAAATAATTAATTAAATAAAATCTTTAAAAAAAAAAGGACAAGGAAACGCTTGGCCCACAACTCAAACCGCCTACTGCATACATGCAGATTCTTATCCTCTCCTTTTCTGCATGTGTCTCTCTCTGTGTATCGTCTCACCGCTGTGCACAAGTGCACAGTTATCAATACAAGTCACCGTGGGACAGAGTGTGGTCAGTGGGAAGTGAGTGGTATAGTCCTTGGTCTGTCAAAGTCTGAAGGCAGAGTGCGGGGAGAGGCTGAGGATGGGGTGACTGAGTCGGGCTTTCAAGAATAAGAGACACTGCAGAGTGGGGAGGGGGAGGAAGTTCTTGGCAGGCGAGGTGATAACATAAAGGGCCAGAGACAGGACCAAACTGGTCCTGTAGGCGTGGTCACAGAGGCACGAGGGCTGCGTGTGCTGGCTTCGTTATGCCTGTGTGTGCACAGACAGAGTGTGGAACACAGACTTCTTCCCGCCAGGGCAAGGGAGCAGGTGCGGGTGGGCTGGGGGGTTGCAAATATACCTGATGGACACTGGGCTGGTGGTGGAGCTCAGGGGGTGCCCACACAGGGGTTCGTTGCATGTGTTTTGTGCGTGCACACGAACCAGCACCCGGGCAGCGCGGCTCCGGCAGGCCCCTGGCTCCTCCAGTGGAATGGCTCCTCATTCCTTCCTCCTTCAGACCTGTGCACACAGATATGAGGCGAGGCAGCGAGTAGACCAGATCCTGGAGACGAGGGACGTGATTGGTCGCTGCTTTGTGCTGAGCCAGGACCTGGCCCTCCATGACGACTTGGATGGTGGCGAGTGGAAGTTCTGTGAGGGGCGTCCTCAGGGCCATGAACAATTTGGGTTCTGCCAGCAGGGAGCTGCAGCTGCCTTCTCCCCCGACAGCCACTACCTCCTCTTTGGGGCCCCGGGAACCTATAACTGGAAGGGTGAGTCACTCCTCTGGGAGGGGAGAAGGGCACCAAACCGTCCTCTTACCTCAGAGGGCAGCACGTGGCCAAGCATGCTCACTGCTGTGTAGTCCCGGGGCACCGCCACGCCTTTCACGCCCATCGTGCGAGCACACGCACGAATGGAGGTATCTCCTCTCCTGCGCATGGCCGAGTGTTCCTCAACACGCTGGCATGAGCCCCACACGCACGGCTGGTCCTCCCTACCAACACCCCTGCCACACCTCGTCACTCCCACTCCCGTCTCCACACGCTGCTGCTGGCAGAGCTGACACTCGGTGAGTGTGTGCCAAGTCTGTGGGACCCCAGAAGCTCGGGAGGGGGTGGAGATGGGGCTGGAAAGGAGAGGAGTGACTTTCCCGTGTGACTGTCTAACTAGCATCCGGACCAAAGGATGCTCCGAGCTCCCTGCCCTGGGCACTAACAGGTTTGTCCTTGCAGGCACCGCCAGGGTGGAGCTCTGTGTGCAGGGCTCAGCGGACCTGGCCCACCTGGACGACGGGCCCTACGAGGCGGGGGGTGAGAAGGAGCAGGACCCCCGCCTCATCCCGGTCCCTGCCAACAGCTACTTTGGTAGGGACCTCTCCTGGCCCAGAGTCACTCTAACCCTTTGCTCCTCTCTCTTGTCCTCCCTCTCCACGCTCCCACCCTTCTGTCTCTGTCCCTGTCTTTCTGTCTCTGTTCCCCTCCCTGTGGCCTCTGTCTCTCATATTCTTTCTCTACCTCTTCTTCCTCTTCTGGCCTCTGTGTCCGGCTCTGTCTCTGCATCCGTGGCCCCTCCTCTGGATGTCCTCTCCCCGGTGTCTCTCTCCTCCCCCCGCCCCCGACCCCCACAGGGTTGCTCTTTGTGACCAACATTGATAGCTCAGACCCTGACCAGCTGGTGTATAAAACTTTGGACCCCGCTGACCGGCTCCCCGGACCAGCCGGAGACTTGGCCCTGAATAGCTACTTAGGTTTGTAAGCGTCCACCCACGTCCTCCTGGGCCCTGGGGGCTTGGCCTGGCTTCCCCTGCTCTGCCCCTCCCCCACACGTACCCAGAGACAAGCTGGGCCTAGTGACCAGGCCTGAGAAGAAAAGGTCCCAAGGGGGAGAACCTAAGGGGCTGTGAACAGGGGTCGCCATGGAGAAAGAACCAGGTGGGCAGAGACCACACTGGGAAGGAAAGAGGCCAGACCTCTAGGGGGCATTTTCTCTGGGAGGGATGATGGGCACATGCTGGAGAAGAGTCGAGGCGTGTTGGCAGGTCCCTGTCACTGTCGCGTCGGCATCCTGCTGCAGAGAAGGGAGAAATGAGGCCTGAGAGAAATTGGGGTGAACCAAGCTCTTCCCCACTCCCACTCGTCTCCCTCTACCCATGTGAGGACCCCCTCTCCCTGCCAGGATGGTGGGAGGGCGGGCCAGGAAGGTGCCCTGGATGGGGTAGGGACCTCCGGGAGAGTAGAGTCTGGCTGCTCAGCCATTGCCTTTCTCTTTTCTTCCCAGTCCCTCATGGCACTACCTGTGCCAAACTGCAGTCTCTGGGTGTGGGGGGCTGCTAGGCCTCTGTAGGGGGAGGCGCAGTCAGCCGCGGTGGTGGTGGTGGTGGGTGGTGGTGGTGGTGGTAACGTGGAGGTGCCTGCATCTTTGGCTCCAGACCTGTGAGGAGGACACGGTGGGGGCTGCGGCACACCTTGGCCCCTGAGCCTTAAGGAGAGTGCTCACTGGGAGATCACCCCCCTCCAGGTTTCTCCATTGACTCTGGGAAGGGCCTGGTGCGTGCAGAGGAGCTGAGCTTTGTGGCAGGAGCCCCCCGGGCCAACCACAAAGGGGCTGTGGTCATTCTGCGCAAAGACAGTGCCAGTCGCCTGGTGCCTGAAGTTATGCTGTCTGGGGAGGGCCTGACCTCCGGCTTTGGCTACTCGCTGGCTGTGGCTGATCTGAACAACGATGGGTGAGTGGGCAGAGAGAGTGGAGCTGGGGGGCGGGGGCTGGGTCCAGGGGGGCTGAGTGGCCTCTAGCATCTCTTCCTGATCTCCCTGGCTGGGCAGGCCCCCACACTGACTGTCTTTCTTTCTCCATAGTTGGGCAGACCTGATAGTGGGTGCTCCCTACTTCTTTGAGCGCCAAGAAGAGCTGGGGGGTGCTGTGTATGTGTACCTGAACCAAGGGGGTCACTGGGCTGGGGTCTCCCCTCTTCGGCTCAGCGGGTCCCCCGACTCCATGTTTGGGATCAGCCTGGCTGTCCTTGGGGACCTCAACCAAGATGGCTTCCCAGGTGTGATGGGAATTGGAAAGGCTCAGGAGGGGCGGGGCAGGGAAGTGCCTGAGGTCATGAGGGGGTCTTCTGAGGGCCCAGGGAGAGAAGCAATCTGGGCCCACACCTGAACTTTACCATTTACCAGCTTTATGACCTTGGGCGAGTTACCTAACCTTTCTGAGGTAGTAGTATCTGCAGGGAGCAGCTGACGGGATTAAAAAGGATATGTGCAAGGCCCCTGGGGCTCGGTGGCCTCTCCGTAAAATGGAACACATATGATATGGAACTAGGTGACGGAGGCAAAGTGGGGGCCTGGACCTTGTCACCCTGGCCCCCCACAGCCTGACTGCTTTTCTGCTCACCCACAGATTTCGCAGTGGGTGCTCCCTTTGATGGGGACGGAAAAGTCTTTATCTACCACGGGAGCAGCCTGGGGGTTGTTGTCAAACCTTCCCAGGTGAGGGGGCTTGTTGGGCTGAGGGAGTGGCCATGGGCGGAATGAGGGGGGCACAGCTGCCGAGGGCAGGGAGGAGGCGGAGGTCCGAGTGGTGGGTGGGGCGCTGACAGGCAGGTCCTGCAGGTGCTGGAGGGCGAGGCGGTGAGTGTGAAGAGCTTCGGCTACTCTCTGTCGGGCGGCCTGGACGTGGACGGGAACCATTACCCTGACCTGCTGGTGGGCTCCCTGGCCGACACTGCGGTGCTCTTCAGGTGAGGCCCTGCCCCTCCTTTGTCTTCTCCCTTCCTGAGTCTGCGAGCCCCACTCGCGCCAAATCCGATGCCGGAGAATCCACCCCGGTCAGTCCCCCAGTTTCTCAGCCTCATGTTCTTACCCTTTTTGTGCCCTCAACTCTTCATTTCTCAGGGCCAGACCCGTCCTCCATGTCTCCCACGAGGTCTCCATTTCTCCACGAGCCATTGACCTCGAACAGCCCAACTGTGCTGGCGGCCACTTGGTCTGGTGAGGGAGCGTCCAGGGGGAGGGAGGCTGGGTGAGGACGTCCAGGGCCTCTAGGCCCCCCGGCCTTCTCCATTTCCCTGCCTCATTTGGCACTGGGGGCTGAGGTTGGATAGGGAGGGGACAGGGTGGGGGTGTGGTCGTGGCCCATTAGCCTCTCCTGACTCAAGAGCCACCCTTTGCTCCTCCACAGTGTGGACCTACGGGTTTGTTTCAGCTACGTTGCAACCCCCAGCAGCTATAGCCCTATTGTGGGTGAGTAGGGTCCCCTTCCCATCTCCTACCCTGTTGGTTTTACGGGGGAAAGAAGGGCCCCTGGGTTCAAGGTCAGACTGAAGCGGTTCCCCAGCTCACTGTCTCCCTCCTCTCCCCACACGCCACAGCCCTGGATTATGTGCTAGATGGGGACACAGACCGCAGGCTCCGGGGCCAGGTTCCCCGAGTGACCTTCCTGAGCCGTGGCCCCGATGACCCTAAGCACCAGGCCTCAGGCACCGTGTGGCTGAAACACCAGCATGACCGAGTCTGTGGAGACACCACGTTTCAGTTACAGGTGGACACTGGCCCCTTGGCCTCTGAGGGTCATTGTCATTGCATGATCTCTTCCTTGATTCCTCTTAGCTTCTTCCCTAACACGCTCACACCTCATTCTGAGATCTTGACTTTTGGGAAGCCTCCGTTATTGGCTGTTGCCTTCCTATGTCTCCTGCCAAGTTCAGTGCTCCCTGGAGATGGAGATGGCAGGGTCCCGTCACGTCTGGTTTTCAAAGCTCTAAATCCTGGGTCTCTTCCCTTCTCCACCTTAGTTGCTCTCCCTTCTCTTTGCTCAGTTCTCCACTTCTCTCCTTCATCTCCCTAAACTTTCCAGGTTTCAGAATTTGTCTTAAGTTTGGCTGGGGCCTGAGGACTGTGCTTGTATTCCTTCCATCTTTCCCCTTTCCAGGAGAATGTTAAAGACAAGCTTCGGGCCATTGTGGTGACCCTTTCCTATAGTCTCCAGACCCCCCGGCTCCGGCGACAGGTTCCTGGCCAGGGGCTTCTCCCAGTAGCCCCCATCCTCAATGCCCACCAGCCCAGCACCCAGCGGGCAGAGGTGAGAACGGCTCTGGTTTAGCCCAGAAGAAGGAGCTGGGAGGAGCAGTGATTGTAACCCCTCACCAGTGGCACTCACTCAGCTCGCAGAGTTTTCACATGTTTTTTCCAGTAGTTCCTTATATCGCCAGGTGCTATAACAACTAGACCCCCAAATGGAGAATGGCCCAAAGGACCATGTGTTCCTAGTCAGAGGGAGCAGTGCTCCTTGATTCCAGGTGATTAGTCAGGGGCTCAGGCTGATGGAGGTCTGCATCTGTAACTGTGGCCTCCTCAGTGCTAAGACCGTGTCTGTCCTGTTCACCCGGGAGAGGGGAGCATGAAGCTCCCTGTGAGATTCTCATGGCCAGTCTGGAAGTAGCACTCCACTTCCTCTCCACCTCTTGGATCTGGAACTCAGTTACATGCAAGGAAGTCAAGGGAAATGTGGTCTTACTGTGGACTAGCCTGCTCATCCCTATCATGGCATCATAATACTCCCATCATTGTACTGGTGAGGGCGTGAGCTCAGAGTGGTTAAGTGGCCAGCTCAGTATCACACAGCCAGTAAGCAGCAGATCTGGGAGCTGAACCCAGGTTGTGCAATCCTGTGATGCTCTACCCCACCTTATGCTTTGGTGACACATTTCCCCCGTTGCTCACCCCCTAGGAATGACCCTCTCCTCAAATCCCTCCCCAGATTCACTTCCTGAAGCAAGGCTGTGGTGAGGATAAGATCTGTCAGAGCAATCTACAGCTTGTGCATGCCCGCTTCTGTGCCCGGGTCAGCGACATGGAGTTCCAGCCTCTGCCCATGTGAGGAGGGTGAGGGAGCAGGTGGAGTGGGAAGGCAGGAGTTCAAGGAACGGAAGGAAGCTTTTCAGGAGGCCAGGCAGAGGGAGGGGCGGGGCCTGCAGAGGAGGATGGAAGGCTGGGGAGGACCCGCTGAAAATTCAGAAGACTGCAGATGGAAGTCAGTGACGGGACCACAGGGGCTCCCCTGGCAAAAATACCAATCCTTCACCCCACATATAATAATGTGCAATTTAAGTACATCTCACTGTTCAGTCTTCACAACCCTGTGAGGTAGGAATTATTATCAGTCCCATTTCATAAATGGAGAACAGAGGCCTAGAGAGGTTAAGTCACTTGTCCAAGGTAAGTCAGTGGTGGAGCTGGGACCAGACCGAGGTCCCTGACTCCCAGTCTGATGTCTGGGACACGGGGAAGACCTGAGGCTTGGGCTGGCGAGAGCAGAGGCTCAGGGAGTAGAGGCCAGTGGCATTCTCTAGGGGGCAGTGGGCAGGGTGGGCAGGAGTGGGCAGGGCAGGGGAAGGTGTTCTGATCTTGGAGTGAGTGGCATCTGACCCTTCAGGGATGCCGATGGGACAACAGCCCTGTTTGCATTGAGTGGGCAGCCATTCATTGGCCTGGAGCTGAAGGTCACTAATCTGCCCTCGGACCCAGCACAGCCCCAGGCCGATGGGGACGATGCCCATGAAGCACAGCTCCTGGTCAGCCTCCCTGCCTCTCTGGACTACTCGGGAGTGCGGGCCCTGGACTCTGCGGTGAGACCCTGGGCAGGGGAGCGTGGTCCTGGGGGTTTCCAGTAATCCGAACTGACCTCCCCTTTGCTCCCCCCTCCAGGAGAAGCCACTGTGCGTGTCCAGTGAGAATGCCTCCCGTGTCGAGTGCGAGCTGGGGAACCCCATGAAGAGAGGTGCCCAGGTTGGCACGTCTGCCCTTATCCCTATCTAAGTGACCTCTAACCCCGGCCCTTCCTCAAGCCCCTGACCTCCCCTGACTCTAATCTTGCTCCACCCTCGGCCTAGATCACCTTCTACCTCATCCTCAGCACCTCAGGGATCACCATTGAGACTACGGAGCTGGAGGTGGAGCTGCTGTTGGCCACGTGAGCCTGGTGGGGCTGGGGTGGGATAAGGTTGGGGGCAGTGGAATCGATGTCCACCTAGAAGGGGCTGACCCTTCGAGGTATGGCCTGAGCCTGCTGCCCACTCCGGCCTCTGCCCGCACACCAGGATCAGCGAGCAGGAGCTACACCCGGCCTCCGCTCGGGCCCGTGTCTTCATTGAGCTGCCGCTGTCCATCACAGGGTGAGCCCTGTCCCGGGGGCACTGCACTGGAGGGGCGGGCATTGCCACACCCAAACCCAGGCCTGGGCTCTGCCTCCGACCCTCCATCAGGTCCCAGGCCTCATCAGTCTCCATTTTGACCCCTCTCCTCCAGGGTGGCCACTCCCCAGCAGCTTTTCTTTTCCGGCGTTGTGCGGGGTGAAAGTGCCATGCGGTCTGAGCGGGATGTGGGCAGCAAGGTCAAGTATGAAGTCACGGTAAGTGTCCTGGTATGTGGTCCCCTATGGTCCCCCTCCCTTCTTGGTGCAGAGGAGAGGCTGAGACATGTCCCAGGGGATGGGGCTCTTCTACTGTATGGTGAGTTCAAGGTTTCCTTCAGCTGAGGTACCTTGGCTGTGGGCAGGTATTTGTGCAGGGCCCTCGGCTGACCATATCCTGGTCGTCTCTGGCTGAACATCTCACCTGCTGGTCTGGGGAGGCTACGAGAGCCCAGGGAAGCTTCTCTGTCTGGGGTCTTGGCTGGGTGTGGGAACATGGTGGGATGGCTGATATCTCTCCCCAGAACTCTGCTCTGGTTCCGCTGGGGCTTCCCCACACCACCCAGTGATATCTCCAGGTTTTCCTGGGTTTGACACAGGTGGCGAATGGTGCCTGGCTGGGTCTGGCGTCCTGAGTCTTTGTTGAAACTGTGCTTCCTGAGGCCGTCCCCTCAACCCTGTCCTCTCCAACTCTGTGGATTCAGAGCTGCTCAGAAATCAAGCTCCCTCCTTTCACACTCTCTGTGCCCATAGGTCTCCAACCAGGGCCAGTCACTCAACACCCTTGGCTCTGCCTTCCTCAACATCATGTGGCCCCACGAGATTGCCAATGGGAAGTGGCTGCTGTACCCCATGCGGGTGGAGCTGGAGGGAGGGCAGGGGCCTGGGCAGAAGGGGCTTTGTTCCCCCAGGCCCAACGTCCTCCACCTGGTAAGGCTTCGGCAGAGTGGGAGCTGGGCTGCTGGAGCAGGGTGGGGGGGCGTTAGACTGTGGGAAGGGCATTGCGGAGCTGGGCATGTGTGGGTGAGTTGGGGCCAGGAGGAAGGCGGCAGGGAGGAGATGCCATCTCAAGGTTGTTAAGTTTGGAGGGACACCCACTGGGCCCCCGTCCCCACATCCAGGATGTGGACAGCAGGGAAAGGAGGCGTCGAGAGCTGGAGCAGCAAAAGCAGCAGGAGCCTCCTGTGCAGCGGGAGCCTAGCACGTCCTGGTGGCCTGTGTCCTCTGCTGAGAAGAAGAAGAACATCACCCTGGTGAGGGCAGGGCAAGTGAGGTGCAGGCAGCATGGGGGCAGTTGGCGGGCTGAGAGAGGATGCTGGGGGCATGGAGCTTCATTCAGTGAGGGGGTGTCCAGGGAGGCTGCTGAGACGTGGGATTGACAGTTCACTGCACACGCATGAAGCAGCTGCTGGCACCACAAGTCCCCCCCACCCCCACCAAGTGCTTCCACCAGAGCTCAGCGTTCAGTTAGCTGTGTGTTTGAGGCTCCTCACATTTACACCAGAGGTAATGCTTTGTACAGGTGGGTGGTTTTACCTACCTTTGAGATCCGTTTGTTGTTCTTTTGAATGCTTTTAGGACAAAAGTCAATCTGTGTAAGAACACTTGTTTGATTTTTACAATGTCAAAAGCATTTTAAGTTTTAAAAAGTTCTAATTGTAGTATATTATGTGTGATTCATTAAGTCTGTCCCTTTTGATCAGTTTTGCCCCCATTTCCTGCTTGTTTTACTTAGTTTTGTTATTTAAGTGGAGCAAATTGGCATATGCTCTGTGCTCACCCTTTGAGAACGGTGCTAGCATGAGAGTGTGGAGGGGACACAGATTAAGGGGGAATTTGTCTGGTTACCAGGAGGTGAAACCCAGGTATGGATATATCTGGGCAATTGAGGCAAGGAGTTGCAGAGACTGCAGGGGGATGTAAGCAGTCGGGCCAGCTCTGGTCCCATCTGTCTGGGAGGGGACTCCCCTGTCACACCCTGTCCCTCCTGTGTGGGGGACAGAAGAGCAGGCAGGACGCAAAAGGAGGTGTCTGGGTGTAAGGTGAACAAGTGTAATTGCTGTCTTTCCCTGTTGTATGGGTAATCTTACCTTCTCCACATGACTAATTTCCTCTGAAAGAACTCCCCATTAAAAAAAAATCTCTTAAAATCTATCTATCTATCTATCTATCTATCTATCTATCTATCTATCTATCTATCTATCAATCATCATCTATCTATCAATCTATAGAGAGGGAAAGAAACATTGATGCATGCTTGAGCAATCCATCAACTGATTGCTTCTTGCACGCCCCCTAGTGGGGACCTAACCTGGCTGGCAACCCAGGCATTTGTCCCAACTGGGACTCTAACCAGCAACCTTTCAGTTCTCACAGGACAGTGCTCAATCCTCCAAGCCATACCAGCCAGGGCAGAACTCCCTTTTTTACAAAGAACTTTGAAATTAATTCTTTGACTTCAGATTAAGGCAGAAGGTCTTGCTTTTAGACAATTGACCAAGTATTCTTGATTTGCTCAAAAGTGGTAAAATAGAAGACGACTCACAGAACTCAAACACTCTCAAGCTCTTCTTCTATGAAGTGTGATGAATATAACTTAGTTTTTAGGCAAATGGATCGTTAGGTGGGATTAGGTCCAATGGATATAGGTCAGGCCTGGAAGGAGCAGGGCCTGGTCCCCTGTCCCCCAGCAGCTCCCGGGCAGCCTCCTCCGTCATCAGTGAGTTTGGACTTAGTGTAGGAGTATAGCTTTGCCCAGTATGGGACTGGGTTTAAATACGTGCTCCACACTTACTAGCTTTGCTAGCTCTGGGACCTAAGGTAGGTCACCTGGCCTCTTTGAGCCTCAATTTCCTAATTTGAAAACTGAGGATGATACTAATATGCACCTTGCAGGATAGTTGTAAAGCTTAAACGAGATAAGTACCTGGCAGGTAGTAGGTGCTCAGTGAATGGGAACAACGTTAGGTAACATCAGCAATAAGTGGGAGCAGCGACTCTACTTGCTGCTGTGAAGTAAGAGCCATCCTCCTGCTCCTCATGCATTTCAAAGCCAATAGTCCAGATTTGGGATAGGCTGCCATGTTGGACCACAAGGTTAGTTTGGGAAGGCTTCCTGGAAGAGGGAAGTTTGAGGCTGATAAGGAAAATAGAGATATGACTGAGGAGCAAGGAGAAAAGGTGTCCAAGGGGTGGGGGCTCATGGAAGGATAGATGAGGTCTCTGGGCAGACTCTGTGTCCATGTGACCATGTTTGTGAGGATGCTGGACCCTGGGCAGGCTCAGCAATTCAGAGCCCTGTCTGTCTTTCTGCCCAGGACTGTGACCGGGGCACGGCCAATTGCGTGTTGTTCAGCTGCCCACTCTACAGCTTTGACCGAGCAGCTGTGCTGCACGTCTGGGGCCGCCTCTGGAACAGCACCTTCCTGGAGGTGAGAGCACTGCTGAGGTGCGGGCTGGGCCACCTCATCCCCAGCAGCCCCTCTAGGACCTCCCCTTCTACCTCCTCCCTGTCCAAATGCAGCACACTCTTAACCCCAGATGGGCAGAAACACCCTCTGTGTGGGGTGCCATTCCACTTACAATTTTGGAGCTGGGGGGAGGTGAGGGGATGAGGGCATTGAGAAGGAGGGTCTGCTTCCCTGCTCTCTTAGGAATACTCAGCCGTGAAGTCCCTGGAAGTGATTGTTAGAGCCAACATCACTGTGAAGTCCTCCATCAAGAACCTGCTGCTCAGAGATGCCTCCACAGTTGTGAGCTGCAGGACTGGGAGGTGAGGGTGGGGGAGCTCTTCTCTCCTGCTGGACCTCTTGCTCCATTAACTCTTTGCTTCCCAGATCCCAGTGATGGTGTACTTGGATCCGGTGGCTGTGGTAGCAGAGGGAGTCCCCTGGTGGGTGATCCTCCTGGCTGTACTGGCAGGGCTGCTGGTGCTGGCGCTGCTGGTGCTGCTCCTGTGGAAGGTGAGGCTTGGGGAGGGTGGGGCCAGTGGGGGCTGGGCTTCCCTGTCAAGCAGGTAGCCTTTCATGCTGTGGTTCTCACTCACCCACTCCCTCATTTCCTCAGCATCTGTACTGAGCACTTACCTTGGCTGTACTAGGGACTTTGTCTGGTCTTGGACATTTCAGAGATAAGTCAATGTAGATCTTGTCCTCAGGGATTTGACAGTCTAGTGGGGGAGGGGAGTCTTGTAGTCAGAAGGCACCAAGTGAAGAAAGTACAGTGGCAGTTCAGAGGAGGGATGGCTTGAGAGCCGGGCCTTAGAAGAAGGTGGGATAGTAGGATCTGGATGTGAGAGATGAGGTGGGTGAGGTCTCGGCCTTCCAGAAGGACCATGGAGGCTGACTCATGGAGGCAGGGAAGTGTGGTCTACTTAATTAGAAAGTGACAGGGTAAGGCTGGGAAGGCCACTGTGTCCACAAAGGCCAACAGTGTGGAGAACTACCCCCAGGAAACTGCCTCCAAGACTGAACTCAGAGCTTGCGCATACCAGGTTCTCTGTGGAACCTTTCTTGTAAACAGTGTATGGGCAGAATCACATTTGAATTGGGGGTCCACACAAAAGCACACTCAGTGCAGGGAATCCCAGTCATCACCCGCGGTCGTGCCTGAAGTCCCATGCCACAGCTCGGCTATGTGGAACCATGCTGTCCTTGGAGCTCTGGAGGACACCCTCCCACTCCACCCCCAACCAATTACAGACCAGACACACCCTTTGACTCTGGACTAGCATCCACACTGTTTGGAACCTGGTTGTTCTTGGAGAAGATTGATGCCTTTGTGAAACTGGCTCTGGGATCCCTGCTCCCTGCTCCTACAGAAGGGGGACAGAGCAGAGATAAGGCCCCGTCCTTCCTAAGTCTTCCCATCTCCCCCTTATTTGCTCCCCTCTCCCCTTGACATCCCAGTGTGGCTTCTTCCGTCGGAGCAGCCAGAACTCATCTTTCCCCACTAACTATCACCGGGCCCATCTGGCTGTGCAGCCCTCAGCTGTGGAAGCTGGGGGTCCAGGGACTGTGGGGTAATTTTTGTTTGTGTGCATGTGTGTGTGGGGGTATGTTTGTGTGTGAGTGTTAGAGTGTCCAGCATTCAGGGGACCTGGAACATTCAGGATGAAGAAATGAGATTGCATGAGGGTGGGGTTAGTCTTGGGAACTGAGGTATAAGGCAGTTATAAGGGTGAGCTTATGAAAATGAGGATACACAGCCTGGGGTGTGCACAGAGGGTTGGGTGGGATCTTGGAGTGTGAGCATGTGGAGTGCAGGAAGGTGTATGCATGTCCTTTTTTGGGCATGAGTGTGCAGAGACAAATGTGTAAGGAGATACTGTACAGTCTGAGCATGCGGGAATCTCTGGCAGTCCTGTGTGTGAGTGTGCAAGGGGTGCATTTCCACCTTGTCCAGGCCAGCATGTTCATGATTTAGGAAGGGGCGAGGCCATCATATTCACGGACAGAAGACCCTGCCCTGCGGGGATGCTGCCCAGTGTTTAAGTACACAGGGTGTGTGTGTATGAGGCTTGAGAGGACTCATTTTGGAGTATGCAGGGCTCTAGGAAGCCACGTTTCCCGTCAGATCTCATTCATGCTCTGGGCAATGCTACTGGGTCCCCTAAAAAGCTTGGGCTGGTAGAAACGTTGGGGTCAGCAGTCCTGATCTTTCACCTTCAATCCCCTCTTTCAGGTGCCAAGGGAGATGTCCTTGGCCTCGCACCTTGGGCCCCCTCTTGGTCTTTCTCTTGCTGTAAACGAGACCCTGATGGTGCCACCCATGGGGGCTGCTTACTGCACTAGATGCTGTCCAACCCATCTCCTTTCTGCGGCAGTTGCTTCTCTCTGTCCCAGGGGTGGTGGACCCGGGAGCTGGGCTATGCTGGGCGTCTGCTCCAGGGACCTCAGCCCTCATGTCTGGCCTGGTGTTTTTACAGATGGGATTCTTCAAGCGGGCGCGGTACCCCGAGGCCACCGTGCCCCAGTACCATGCGGTGAAGATCCCTCGGGAAGACCGACAGCAATTCAAGGAGGAAAAGACAGGCACCATTCTGAGGAGCAACTGGGGCAGCCCCCGGAGGGAGGGCCCTGATGCACACCCCATCCTGGCTGCTGACGGGCACCCGGAGCTGGGCTCTGATGGGCACCCTACACCAGGCACTGTCTAGCTTCCCCTGTCCCAGCCTGGCCTATGTGTCCCTTCCATCCCTTCCCCAGAGACGGCTCCTCTGGATGAAGACAGTAGAATGGGCTGCCCGTGTCCCACCAGGATTTTGCAGGATCTGTTTTCTCAGGGGCATAGAGCACTCCCTCCAGGAGGAGCATGCCCAAACCTCCCCTTAGAACGCTGTGACCTGAGAGAGGTAAATCAGGGAAGGGGTCGTAGGAGAGGGTGAGAAGGGCAGCAATGTCCTGATGCAGAGGTTTGGGAGAGGAGACCCTAATCCCTCCCTCTCCTATTCACCCAGTGTAGCAGGACCCCAAGGACCTATCTTCCCAAAAGTGCCTTACCCCATAGGGTTGGGGAGGAGGTTGCATCGCCGATTCAGGGGCTCTTATCTTCCTAATTTCCCTTCTCCTCTACCTTAGTTTGCTGCATCAGTCTAGCAGATTTCGTTTATTTATTAAAAAAAAAATTGAGAACAAACCCTGGCTAGTGTGGCTCAATGGACTGAGTGCTGGCCTGTGAACAAAAAACAAAAAACAAAACAAAAAAAATTGAGAACAAACCTCTGGCCTCTTTGCTGGGTTCTGCTCCCTCATGCCCATGGTCTTCAGGAGAGGCCTGATTCACTCTGCACACCCCAAGCTCAGGACAAAGGTGGTAGTGGGAGGGAGGGTCGGCAGCCTGGCAGGTGATGTATGCATCCGACTTCTGTGACCAGATCCTGGAGGTGCAAGGGTGTGGTATCCAAAGGAAGGGCGGGGGCACTTTTCTGTGGGAACAACTTTATTTGTGATAGACCAAAACTGAAAACAACCCAAATGTCTATCAACAGCTGAATATATAATCTATGGTACATCCATACAGTGGACTACTACTCAGCAATTAAAGGATCTATTGATACATTCCTACAACATGGATGAATCTCCAAACAATCATACTGAGTGAAATAAGCCAGACAAAAAAAAGTACATAGTGTAGGATTCTATTTATATAAAATGCTACAAAATGTCACCTCTTGTGACAGAGAGTAGACTAGTGATTACCTGGGGATGGGGATGGAAGAGAGAAGAATGGATCACAAAGAGGCACAAGGAAACTTTCATGGTCGATAGGCATGTTCATTATCTTGATTGCAGTGATGGTTTTACAGGTGTACAAAGCTCATCAGGTTAAACATTGGAAATATGTATCCATTCTTATACATAATGATACTTCAATAAAACTGTAAGTGAATAGGGTATAGATTATAACCCACTGAATAAAATAGAAAATTTGTCCATCAATATGAATGAACAAATGAACAAGAAGATACATAATATCAAATATTACTGGTGAAAGTGTAAATCGATATAGCCACTTTGGAAATCTTTGACGGTATTTGCTAATCCCAGTAAAACAACGTATAGATTAGTGGGTACAACATTCTACCACTTGTGTAAAGAAAGGTGAATATATATGTATATACATACATGCATCTAAATGTGTGGTGTGTGTGCTATCTACTCACAGATTATCTCCATCTCCAGGAGGATTCACAAGAAATTGGTGATGTGATATTTAGTGCCTTCAGAGAGGGGCTCTGGGAGGTTGGGAGACTGGGGTGGAAGAGACTTTCCCCTGTAGTGTCTTTTATACCATGTGGGTGTTTTATCTTTCCCCCAAATTTCTTTTTTTAAAAGGTTTTATTTATTTATATTTTTTAGAAAGGAGGGGAGGGAGAAAGAGAGGAAGAGAAACATTGATGTGTGGTTGCCTCTCATGTGTCCCCTGCTGGGGACCTGGCCCGCAACCCAGGCATGTGCTCTGACTGAGAACCGAACCTGCGACCCTTTGGTTCACAGGCCGATGCTCAATTCACTGAGCCACACCAGCCAGGGCCAAAAGAAATTCTTTAATGATTCTTTTAGAAACTAAAAGAGGTAATGCCATAATTCTGGCTAAAATTAGCTGTTGAGATCAGACATTAAAGTAATCTCATTTCTTTTTAGGCGGAAACTTCAAACTAAGTACTGGGGCATTATATTAACATGAAATACAAAATTTGGTAACTATTTCATAGATTCATAAAAGAAGAAAATGGCCCTTGCTGGTGTAGTTCAGTGGATTGAGTGAGGGCTGTAAATCAAAAGGTCATTGGTTCGATTCCCAGTCAGGACACATTTGCAGGCCAGGTTCCCAGTGGGGGCCACGTGAGAGGCAACCACACATTGATGTTTCTCTCCCTCTCTTCCCCTCTCTAAAAAATAAATTCTAAAAAAGAAGAAAATGAACAAAATTTTTTTAAAGTATTTTCTTTGACTTCTGGCCAAGATGGAGGTGTAGGTGGAAACACTGGGCCTCCTCGCACAACCAAGTTTAAAGATAACAAAGTTTTAGCAACAAAAACGCAACCAAAACACAGAAAATTGAACTGTACAGAAGTCTGACAACAATGAACCCTTCGGCCAGATCGGTAAGAGGGGTGGAACCAGTGGCGGAGTGGGGTTGGGCAGGAAAAATCCACTGACAGACTCAGGCGCGCAGCAGCCATGGATCTGTGGATCCCAGGTGTGGGGTAGCAGTGGGTGGACCCACCGAGGGCACAAGGTGGCAGGCTGACTGCGGGCACACATCACATTTGCACACAGATAAAACAGCTGAAGGAGCGAGCAGTGAGACAGACCTCGCAGGCCCCAGTGGTGGGAAGTAGCAGAGGGGACCGCTATTGCCTCTCTTTGACCCTGCCCCCACATACAGCGTCACAACCCAGCAACCGAGTTGCCCCACCCTGGTGAATACCTAGGGCTCTTACCCTCATACATAACGGGCACGAACAGACCAAAACATGGCTCAAGAAGAACTCCAAGCCCCAGAGCCCATAACTCTAAGCGACCAAGAAATAGCCAAACTTTCAGATGCACAGTTCAAAACCCTGGTGATCAGGATGCTCACAGGACTGGCTGATTTTAGTCACAAATTAGAGGACATATGAAGGCTAAACTAATTAAAATGAAAGTAAATGCACAGGAAACCAATAGTGATGGAAAGGAAACTGGGACTCAAATCAAAGGAGTGGACCAGACGGAAGAAAAAAAATGACCAAACACAAAAGTATGAAGAAACAAGAGTTCAAAAAAAATGAGGAGAGGCTTAGGAACTTTCAGGACATCTTTAAACATTCCAACATCTGAATTATGGGGTACCAGAGGGGGAAGAGGAAGAGTGACAAGTGGAAAACATTTGAACAAATAATAAAGGAAAACTTCCTTAATCTGGCAAAGGAAATAGACTTCCAGGAAGTCCAGGAAACTCAGAGTCCCAAAGGAGTTGGACCCGAGGAGGAACACACCAAGGCACATCATAATTACATCAGCCGAGATCAAAGATAAGAAGAGAATCTTAAGAGCAGCAAGAGAAAAGGAGACAGTTACCTACAAAGGAGTTCTCATAAGACTATGAGCTGATTTCTCAAAGGAGACCTATAGGCAAGAAGGGGCTGGAAATATTTGAAGTCATGAAAGGCAAGGACCTACACCCAAGATTAATCTATTCAGCCAAGCTATCATTTAGAATGGAAGGGCAGATAAAGAGCTTCCCAGATAAGGTCAATTTAAAGTTCATAATCACCAAGCCTTTATTATGAAATGTTAAAGGGACTTCTCTAAGCCTTGATTGCTATAGCTCAATGGATTGAATGTGGGCTACAAACTAAAGGGTTGCCAGTCTGATTCCTAGTCAGGGAGCATGCTTGGGTTGTGGGCCAGGTTCCCAGTAGGGGGTCATGTAAGAGGCAATCATACAGTGATGTTTCTCTCCCTTTCTTCCCCTCTCTCTAAAAATAAATAAATAAAATCTTAAAAACGGGACTTATCTAACCTTTTAAGAAATAGAAGATCAATAGATAAAAAACTATGAACAATAAAATGACAACAAACTCATAACTATCAACAACTGAAGCCAAAAAACAAAAATTAAGCAAACAACTAGAACAGGAACAGAATCACAGAAATGGAGATCACCTGGAGGGTTATCAGTGAGGAGAGGGAGGGGAAAGGGAAGGGGGAAGAGGAAAATTGGGGGAAAAGGTACAGAGAATAAGAAGCATAAATGGTAGGTAAAAAATAGACAGGGGGAGGTCAAAAATAGTATAGGAAATACAGAAACCAAAGAACTTACAAGTACAATCCATGGACATGAACTAAGTGGGGAGGAGAATGCTGGAGGGTGGGGTGGTTTAGGGTGTAGGGGGGATAAAGGGGAGAAGATAAATAGCATAATCAATAAAATATACTAAAAAATAAAACGGCAATTAACTGCTAAAAAATCTGAATAGCTTCCTCATTGTCAACAAGACAGAATCCAACTCTTTAATGTGACAGACAAGGCTCTCTGTGATCAACCCCCGATGGACTCCTCAGCCTCTTCTCTGAAGCTTTCTCCCTTGATAACTGTGCTCTGGTTACCTAAGGTACATGCTGTTTTCTTCCTGCCCAGCTGTTTCACACGGGAGCCTCTGCCAGTCAGATCTTCCACCTCACTTGGCTGGCTCCCCCCACACCCCTCAAGAATGGCTTTGTTAGATTCAGTTCAGGATCCCCCCACACCCTCCAAGAATGGCTTTTCTTACGACTCTCCAGCTCTGATGGGGTTATAAGCCTTTCCCCTTCACACTATATACATATATTGTTATTGTACTGATACTGCATATTGTGCTGAAAAATATCTCTTTATACATCTTTCTCCTCTAATGACCTGTTGGCCTATTGAGCACAGGGACTTTGTCTTATATATTTCTGTAGCCCCCACATAGTATTAATCAATAACATTTGAAGAATGAATGTTGTAAAGGAACCAGACAAATGAGTAGTAAGCAAAAACACAACTGTAGGGGACTATTTTTTAAATTAATTAATTTATTTTTATTGATTATGCCATTACAGTTGTTCTATTCCCCCCCTTCATTCCCCTCCACCCTACCCCCCCATCCCCACCATTACCCCCCCTTTAGTTTATGACCACCTATCCCAAGTTCTTTAGATTCTATATTTCCCATACTATTCTTGCCCCCCCCATCTATTTTCTATCTACTGTCTATGCTACTTATTTTCTGTACCTTCTCTCCCCTTCTCCTCCTCCCACTACCCTGTTGCTAACCCTCCTTGAGATCTTCATTTCTATGTTTCCACTCCTGATCTAGCTGTCCTTTTAGTTTGCTTTCCTTTTAGGTGTGGTTGTTAATAACTGTGAATTTGTTGTCCTTTCACTGTTCATGTTTCTTTAACTTCTTTTTCTTAGATAAGTGCCTTTAACGTTTCATATAATAAGGGCTTGGTGATGATGAACTCCTTGAATTTGATCTATCTGAGAAGCACTTTGTCTGCCCTTCCATTCTAAATGAAAGTTTTGCTGGATAGAGCAATCTTGGTTGTAGGTCTTTGGATTTCATGACTTGGAATACCTCTTTCCAGCCCCTTCTTGCCTGTAAGGTCTCTTTT